TTGCCTGTATATAGCTCAGCCTATATTTATATAGCCTATCTTATTTGGTCTTTACTCGTTTTCAAGAATAGAAAAGCAAAGCAAGCTATAAGGTTGAAGAAAACAACAAGAGTCTAATATATACAATTAAATTAAAGTGAATTCTGTCGAACACTCGCGCAATTTTGATGTTATAACCGTAAGTAAACTTCAACATTTTAGTAATAGTTATAGTATCTATGGTAGGTATGAACCTAAACTGCATGAGATGTAAATTGCGCTCATAAAGTTTGGCGTAAGAATTGAACATAAAATGAGAGGTTTGGTTTACAGTTTCATTTAATTCGATACTATATTTACGTATGCATATATATGTGATTTTTTTAATTATATGCAGTACTGCAGCTTTATTCAATTTTGCTGTCAAACAGGTTGCTTCTTAGTACAATCTTAACTGAGAAACTGCATAAATGTTGTTAATGAGACAAATTGCTCGTCAAATTTCATGGCCTTCGACTGTCTTATATTGTAGAGGTTTAAAGGGTCTTCATTTCGAGTGGAATTATACACATTTCAAATTCAAGCCAGGGACATGCAGTTAATGGAAAAATGGGTCCTCCGGCAGGTTTCCATCAACTGTTCCTGCATGGCTTGAATTTAAGCCTCTAGAATTTACCTGCATCGAGTGAAGTGCCAAAATCATGATTGTCTTATATTGTGTTTCATTAGCTATCTGAAAAGGACTAAAAATGAGGAAAACTACGTTCTGTATAAACTTGCTGATTGGTTTAAAACGAAACTCTCCCTTGTTTATAAAAATTTTACTTTGCCTTTTTAGTGGCAGTTAAATCTACATTTAGTTGACGTAATTCTTTATCAAAATTCTGAAATCTTAATCAAAATTTAGTGCAAATGTTGTAGAAAGCCTGTTGTTTGAAGGTAATATTTTGCCTAATGTCCTTTAAATCATTGATTTCACAGCTCAAAAGATATATACTCGCACGACGCTTGTGAAATTAACTTAGAGTGACTATATGGAAATCACGAAGCTGGATGATATTCGGCATTATAGTTTCTGCATGATATTCTAGTGCTAACAAAGAATTTATACATCTATATATATATATATATATATCTAATTATATATATAATTTTCGAAAAATCAAGAGCTACAGGAATTTAACAGTAATTTTATCTAAAAGCATGTCATCATTTAGTTAGGCTTTATATCTAGATTAATTACAGTCTTTTCAGAAATGTGAATTAAAGTTATATATAATTATAATTTGCATTGTAGCTGTACAAAGCCATGAATATTTCTAATTTAGAGTGATGAAGGTCGAGCTGGTCTGTATATTAATTCTGTCACTGCAACACGTTTTGGTCGAAGGTATTTTTTGGAGTAGAAGGAGAAGGAGGAGAAGAAGTTGTTCAGCCACAAACTGTGAAGTGGGTCCATGGTCACAGTGGGGTCCATGTAATTATGAATGTGGTTCTACGAGAACACAAACGCGCTCAAGAAGCAAAACACGTAGTGAGTCATGTGGTGGTTCATGTATGTATACGTTAAGCGACACTAGATCATGCATTGGAGATGGATGTAAAAATGGAGGAACGGCAATTCCTGGCCGTTGCTCTTGCTTGCTTGGTTTTACAGGGACCTGCTGTGAGTCCGGTGAGTAATCAATTATGTCCATACATGCATCTAGTACATTCTGAATGCATGGCTGGCGACAAATTTAATCTTTGAATGGTGCATTCCACTGATTTTTTTGTTCGGCATATCGTAAAATTTATAATGATATTCATTTCTTTTGAATCAAATGTCACAGTATTTTAGAAAATAATTGATAAAATATACTCGCAGAAATCTAGTTAATAATTTATTATAACCGCATTATAACCACTTTTGACTTGCGCATGCATGTCCCCTATATTATATACACAACTTTTTAGCGGATTTCTAACATGGTGTAAAATGGATTTAATTAAGATGTATTATAATTCATAGTGCCTCAAAAACGACGAATTATAATATAACTGATTGTATTATAATTCATAGTGCCTCTACAAAGACGCAAATGCCGTTTCGGCATGTATTCAAACTTATCCGGTGCAGGAACACGAGCGAATATCTCGATTTATATTCAAAAAACTTTCCAATGTCCTTGAAGTCGAAAAAATAATAAACAAAAAATAAACCTATAGGCCATTTTTTAATTCCATCGCTTACGCCGGAGTAATTAAACAGCCAATAAATTAACAAAATATACGACCGTTTATATCAAATTTACAACCGCTTTTTATAGATGTAAATGAATGTTTAAGTAACCCATGTCAACATAATTGCACAAATACTTTTGGAAGTTTCACCTGTTCCTGTCGTTCGTGTTACACAAAACTTGGGCTAAATTGTCAACTGCAAAAATGCAAGTTTGGTGAAAAATGCTTTGAATACGGCGAGATAAACCCCAATAATCAATGCCAGGTGAGGTTGTTATGAAAATATAAATATATTATATATAAATATATGGAATATAAGTATTCAATTTCCAAGGGGTTTAAATTTAAGGGAGGAGTATTAGTTTATGTCAAAGGATGATTAATTGCTGTAAAATGCAAATGTTAGGGCTATGGTATTTAATGACATGGAGAGGATCTTATATCGTTTCTGACGAAGGGGCTGTGCCCCGAAACGTAATATATTATTTTTTTCTTCTCAAATGATGTTTTACTTTTTGATTTCAATGATTTGAAGCTTTATATAAATGTATGTTTTTGGGAGGCTTCTGATAGTTATTTACCAGATTGGAGGTCCGTAAAGGGAAATATTTCCGAGAGAAAAGGATTTTACTTTATGGACCGACTTTTACTTTACGGACCGACTAAACTGGTAAATAATAGATTTATTTTTTTTCTTGCGGTCAGAATTCATATTTTAGCGTTGGCTCCCGCGGTCCGTACGGCCTCATACGGACCGCTCGCGTAGCCAATTAGATTGCAGGAAACGCTAAAATATGAATTTGGACCGCAAGAAAAAAATAAGTAGAGATTATAACGTGGGTTGGGTTGGTTACAAATTTCCTTGATGCTTCTGATGCTACAACATTATTTTTTCACAAGATATATCGATTTGTGAGTCTTGCATGTCATAAGATTTATACACGACGGATTCATTAATTTTAAGGAGTGTCAAAAATCACGCGAGACAGTTTGGACAAACAACAATACCCTACCTTGCCGTGACACTAATTTGTGCACAAGAAATGATCACTGCGTGGGTGGGGTATGCACAGGAACGCCTTTCACGTGTCTTAATTGCGAGAGTTGTGATGGAACTGGATGTGTTATCAATCCAGGTTTCTGCGTGATCGAAGGAAATTGTTACACGGATGGTGATTTAAGATCAGGAAAGCCTTGTCAGGTGCGTTGATATTGTTTGCCTGTCATTCTGTCAAAAAGATATTGTGCGATATTCGGTGAAAATTCAATTCGGAAACGGTTAGGTCGATGGGAAACACGCAGTTCATATTATTTAACATAAATTATTGGCAATAATATTATTACAGTTAAAGTATTATAGCACATCGGACACATTTTTCATACGTGGCTGTAAGTATAGTCAGCCATTGTTTTTAAACATTGTTTGCCTATAGCGAAGAATAAAGCACAATCGTGTTAAACTTGCTCCATTATTATTTTAATAAACCAAATAATCTAACACATATACCTTTCCCGAAGCTTTGTCTTCTGAGTATCTAGACACAATACATATCATACGCAGTTTTTGTGATAAGTTTTGCTCGGAGGAATAATAGTTCTTCCGGCCAGATTCTTTTTATCAACAGAATGATGTTTGATAATAAATACGTATGTTTGAAAGCACAAATGCTTATAGAATTACTGCCGAGCCCAGCAAAATCACCACCTTATATAATAAAGTGATGGAAAAAGTAAAGTTCTGTGATATAGAGAACACCTTATTAGGCACTGAGGTCCAAGCCCATCATATCCTAGCATCACATAGTCGCCTAAAATATACTGTATCGTTAAGTAATCTAAATAATTTGACTAAAAAAAAAAATTTATGCGAATCAAAATTTACACTTTTATCCTAGCAATGTAACAGCAACAGGCCTAGAACATGGACGGCAAATAACAACCTTGGATGCAGTGATAACAACGTGAAAACAAGAAATGATCGTTGTAATAACGGAGAATGTCGAGGAGAGCCTTTCACGTGTCTTGCATGCCAAGACCATCACAACGACACATGCCGAATAAAAACTGGGTATTGCGTCATTAATTATAACAATGTGGAGACATGTTTCACTGCAAATACGAATAAACCGGGAAATATGTGCCAGGTAGAGTGCGTTTGCGTTGGTTTGTATCTGAAAGTATGCAATTGAGTACGTAGCGAAAAACTCACCTCGAGTCCTTTAGCAAAATAGGTTTCTGCTTTCGTTGACTTATTTATAAGAATTTAATTTGTGCAATGTTGGACTGAAAAGTTTATTTTATGGTACTCTAAGTGAAATCGGAGCGCTGTGGAAAATTGCTTTACCAACGGAACTAATGGACTATTCAGTCTATATTGAAATATATTTAAAACTAGGAATATTCATCAGTACAGCTGGAAGGAAAATTCCAAAGTTAGTAAAATTGAAAGCTTGGTTGAAAAGTATTGCGAAGTTTGAAAACGTCTTAAAACTTTGATTACGTCACATCATTTGGAAGGCGACAGGATTCTGCATGAATGTATTTATAATATTCGGAGAAACTTCAGCTGGTAAAGGATTATGCAACTCTCCAACAACCTCCCCCTCCAAAAAAGACATGATATGCGGCACTGATATTATCAGGAAACAAAAGTAGAAAATTTTTAGGAAGGAGTTTGCAAATGATTTGTTAGCTAATTAAAAAAGCCTACAAAAATAAAAACCCCTCACTAAATTTATTTCCATTATACCATATTCTTTCAGTGGTGTCTTCCATCATCAAGTACGACAACCTGGACAATGAAGCATGACGTTCCATGCAATGACCAAGACAGTTGCTCAAAGTCTGACAAATGTAAAAATGGTCAATGCGAAGGGATCAGTTTTTCATGCAATAATGATTGTCAATCCTGCAATGGCAATGACTGCAGCTTACACATCGGGTATGGATATGTGGCAGGAAAATGTACCTGTAAAATAGGGGGTGAGTAAAATTTAAACTTAAAATTTCTTTGAACTAGAACAACGCTAAAACTATCGAAAAATGATGATTGTATTAATATACTCAGATAAGAACTACCAGCATCAACAGCTCAACCCAAATAATGAATGTCAGTGGTGCGACATCTATGATAAATCCTCTAAATCAAGTTCTGCATGGTCCAATCGACCAGCAACCAACTGCAGTGACGCTAATGACTGTACGAATCAAGATCTTTGTAATAATGGGTACTGTGTCGGTATTCAATACAACTGTCAATCGTCGTACCCGCAGTCCAGTTGTATACAAAGTTCCCAATGCAATGGTGACGGGACATGTAGAAACATTATGAAGAGTAATGGGAGCATTTGTCGCGCAGCTATTGACTATTGCGATGAACCAGAAAGGTATAGAATAATTACGCTAATTACAGAGATTTTCTACCTGATCAAAATGCCCAAATTTATATTAATAAGGGCGATTGGGGAGGACAACCTGAAACCATTTGTCCAAGACCCCTGATAATTTTATTTACAAGCATATTTTCGTATATTTTAGGTAGGAAAACAGTTTAAAATATAAAATTAAAATGTTGAATTAAGATAGTAAACATATATATTATTAATATAACTAATATATTATTAATTTTCCGCAGATGCGATGGCGTGTTAGGAACATGTCCTCCAAACTCTGTAACAGGAATAAGAATTCAAGATGGTCAAGCAAGGATAACACTTCCCAATTTTGGAACACCAGCTTCATTTCAAGCAAGTACAAACAAATTGTATCTTCAACTCAGCGGATTCTCTGTCACCTGCGGTTCTCTCGCTATTAAATGGTCTATAATAAAGTCTGATAGAAGCTGTTATCTGGACAAAGAAAATGCAACACTTTCGTTAAATACTAATACCCATATTCTTGGTGGCCTAAATTTGCCGAATGCAGAAATCTATAAAGTTGTTGTTCAGGCATATAATATTCGTGATGAATTTGGGTTGCCTGTGTGCAGTAACCCGGTTACCATAGATACCAGCACTCCAACAAGTGGCTGGGTCCATGATGGATTAGGCTCTACTGACCTTCAGTTTCAATCCAGTATGACGTTCAGCGCAACATGGGGAGGATTTCAATCACTCCACGGTATTGCGAAGTACGAAGTTGCAATGCAACATCAACCACGACTATCGAACAACCAAAGTGAAGTACAAGCCTTTATGAATGTTTATTTAAACGTTTCTTTCAGCAAAACACTTTCGGTAATCCCGGACGGCAGCAAACTTACAACAAAAGTTCGCGCATACACAAAAGCAGGATTGTACTCAGAAGTAAGCAGTAATGGTCTAACAGTTGATACATCGAAACCTTTTTCAGGGTCAGTCTCTGACGGTTCAAGCATTTCACAAGATCTGCAATATGCTGACTGGCGCTCCAGCTACAGCATAAGTTGGGAACAGTTTACTGACCCTCATACACCTATTGTCAATTACAATGTCGGTGTCAAAAGAAAGCATGGTAGCTTTCTGTCGTCAGGTTTATCTTCAGTCGGTTTGAAACAAAAATTTCTAGTTCCACAGCTAACCCTTGTCTCCGAAAAAGAATATTGCGCTATTGTCGAAGGGGAAAACGCGGCTGGACTTAAAACTCAAGCTTCTTCAAATTGTTTGCTCATTGACCATGATCCACCAAGACCAGGGACAGTTAATGATGGCATGACTGATGACATTGACTATCAATCGGATGACACAGTATTTTATGGAAACTGGAAAGGATTTGACGACGGTATTCGGGGTAGTGGAATCATCGAATACAGATACATACTAACTGATCAAAATGGCGGGAATATCACATCATGGACTACCACTGGCTTGCAAACAAATGTTACAATCCAAGCGATAAAACTGGCGGATGGCAATACTTATTATATAACTGTACGAGCCATCGATAGAGTGAGTCATTACAAAGATGCAAAATCCGACGGAGTGTATATTGACACATCTCATCCCGTTTATACTGGAAAAATACACGTTAAAGGGGAAATGGCCCAAAAGGATGGAGTGTTGATTGTATATATTGTAAATGAAGGCACGTTATCTGCATCTTGGCCTCAATTTGTGGATACACATAGTGGTATGGACAAATATCAGTGGAGTATTTTCGAAAATGACACACGACCGAGCAAATGGAATGATGTGACAGGAGTAAACCTGGCAACAAAAGCAATCTTTAGGTAAGCGATACAATATCCAATAGATACAATATAATATCCAATAGATAACACCATCAGAAAACTACAATTTTTTATTCCCTTATGGAATCATTAAACTGAAAAGTTTGTTTTTCTACCATTCCACCACATAAATGTCGTTAAATTTTGTTCAAATAAACTTTGCCTTTATGACAGCAAGGTAGATGTGGGGACCAAGCCACAGTCTTGTCTAGGAAGAAGGCCTGGGGTTTTAAGTTAGAATGTGTCTTTAGTTGGATTTGTTAAAAAATTGTCTATAATTTTAGAATATTTTTTAAAAAAATTATAATATTGCACATCGTATTATATCAATTCTCAGATTTCAACATTCTTTCGTTCCTGAGAGTATAGTCAGTCATTTTTAATAACCTTCTAGATCCTTGTCGCTAGCCAATAACACAGCATACCGCCTGATCATTCGCGGGATAAACAACGCTGGTCTCCATGCAGACATCATGTCTCCCGTAATAATCCCCATCGCTGGATCACATAGTCTCGGAATGGTCTTCGACGGCCGTGATCCATCAGTAGACATCGATTATGTAACAAATACTTCCGTCCTTCACGCTACATGGCAAGGTTTTGAAACAGCTGATGTAAAAGTTAGAGCATACTTCTTTGCAGTGGGTAGTTGCACGAGAGGTAACTACCATGTGACTAATAACCAGTTCATGCCAGTTATACCACCAACAGCAACTTCGTTTGGAATACATGGTCTGCATCTCGTGAACGGTCAACGATACTGTATAAAGATCAAAGCTGAAAATTTAGCCGGAGTTGAAAGTAACGTCGCTTCGTCGGACGGATTCATTGTAGACGTCTCCCCCCCTGATCTAAGAAGTGCAATGGTATTGGACGGACTGGAAGAAGATGATATAGATCACCAATCAAAAACGATGGAGCTATCCGCAACCTGGACTGGAATTCAAGATCACGAGTCAGGCATCCAGCATTTTGAGGTTGCTGTTAGTCGAAGCAGGACTGACCAGCCAGACATTACGTCATTCATAGATGTTAACTACAATATGTCTTCTACAATAAGTGGACTTCGTCTTAACAACGAAGTGTATTACTTCATATTGTGTGCGATTAATAACGCAGGATTAAGGTCATGCTTGGCTTCAGACGGTGTCCTTATCGACCCGACTCCTCCAACGACAGGCATCGTACATGACGGAATACTCGAACCAGATATTCGCTATCAGTCATCTATTAAAGAAATCAGCGCAAACTGGGAACGAGTTTGGGACTTGGAAAGCAGGATAGAGAGATTTGAATGGGGGATTAATGAAGAAGGTAGAGGACTTGTTCAAGATTTCGTAGACGTTGGCCTTCAGACGCACGTTACATCCAACAAGGTGCTAAATCTAAAACACGGTCACAATTATACCGTTATTTTACGCGTTTACAACAGAGCCGGTGCGGTACAAGAATTATCTTCCAACGGCGTAATTATCGATACGACACCACCTGTTTCAAGTGAAATTAAACCATTGCCATCTCATCTGGACTGGCGCTTTGTTGAAGAAACTGAAACCTATTACTCATCCACAGCGACGGACATTTGCGTTACATGGGAGGATTTCCAAGAACTGGAAAGCGAAATGTGGTACTACAAGATAGCGATAGGAACGTCAAAATATGGCACACAACTTCAATCATTGACGAATATCGGTTCGGCCACAAATGCCAATACCTCTGGAAATGGGTTGAATATTAGGCCAGGGATTCATTATTTTGTCACTGTCGTTGGACGAAATCGAGCTAATCTTGTGTCTGGAAACTGTTCATCGCCATTCCTATTTGATTTCAGCCCTCCAGAAACTGGCAAAATACAAATAAAATCAGACTCAGGACTCGTCAAGAAACATTACAGTTTAGGCGAAAGTATTCGCGTCAGTTGGTTGGGATTCCAAGATCCGGAAAGCAAAATAGAAAAATATGAGATCTCGGTAGTACATAACAGCTCAGCCATTTTGAATTACACTCTCAAACCTAGTCAAACTGAAGAGGAAATATTCATTGATACAAGTCTTCTGTATCCAGGAAAATCCTACAACATAGTCTTGAAATCAAAGAACTACGCAGGCTTGGAGTCTCTTGTTCTCAGCACGCCGTTCACTATTGATAATACTCCACCAGATTACACCGGAAAACGTGATGAACTACCTAAACGCTACTTTCGTTCAAATACACATCCTTTTAAAATTGTTTGGGAAGCCTTTGAAGACTACGAAAGTCCAGTAGAATACTATGAAATTGGCATCGGTAGACACAATTCTGGTGACGATACACTCAATTTTACCAGCACAGACTTATGTACACATTTCAATGCTGATGGGTTGTTCTTTAAGGAGAATCAAGTGTATTATGTGACCGTGAAAGCTTTTAACAAAGCTGGTCTTTCAAGTTCGCTTTTGTTAGAAGAAGTTAATTTTGATCAAAGTCCGCCAACTGGAGGCATGGTTAAAGACGGTGTCTCGAATGAGGACGTGGATTTCATGTCGTTGCAAGACACAGTTTCTGCTTCCTTAGAAGATGTGAAAGATGTCGAAAGTGGAATACACGAAATTGAATATTGTGTTGGGAGTACTCCTTTTAACTGCTTCATAAAACCTTTCACTTCAATCCTCAAAAATAACTCTTTCACTTGTAGCGACTGCAATGTTGATGCTGGGATGACAGCTTTCGCCGTGTTTCGTGTAACAAACGGAGTAAATTTGTCCAAAATATTCGTCTCGGACGGTGTTACGGTCGATTCGACACCCCCTGAAATACAGCTCGTATACGATGGTGAAGAAACAGAATATCCTGACGTAGAAAAGTCGTTTAGCAATTGGATTCCAACAGTCACATGGAACGGAGCACGAGATATTCATAGTGGTCTGCGCAATTGCAAATGGGCCATTTTAAAGAAAGAGGGAAACACTACTCTCAGTGTGTATGTTAGGACTCTTCATGAAGCTAACATGACGTATAACACAAAACACATTGAAAAGGCCACTGCTCAACTTTCCACAAACTCTTCATACGTGAACGTAATCCAGTGCTGGAACAATGCAGGATTATCTAGTCAGCGGTATTCCAACGGCTGGTCGGTGGTTGAACAATGGCCTATTCCGTCATACGTCATAGATGGTACTGGGCCACATGACATGGAGTATGATATCAATAGAGAAACCCTTGGAGCGTCATGGGGTGCATTTCATGCAGATTCAAAGGATCCTATAATAAAGTATGAGTGGGCTGTTGGCACGCTAGGGGAATATGACAACATTCTAGAATTTACAGATGTAGTGCTTAACACAAAAATTTCGCAGTCGTTGTCAGAAAGCGATGTCACAGTAAAGCCTGGTGTTAAGTATTATACAACAGTTCGCGGGACCACTTTGAGTGGATGGAGCAGCAACAAAACTTCAAACGGATTTATCATCGACATCACTCCCCCAACAGCTGGTTCTGTAAGTCTGACTCATCGCATTTTAAACCAAAAGACCAATGATGTTGACTATACAATATCGTGGCAGGGTTTTGCTGACTTGGAATCAGGAATTCAGAATTATGCTTATTGTCTGGGTTACATTGAAAACGTTTGCTCGACCTCCGTCTTAAATGCGGGTTCAGCTTTTCAAGGAACTGTTCATGGTTTTCTCCCTGAAGATCTAGAAAATTCATTCTTCGGTATTATCATTGTAACAAACAAAGCAGGTCTGAAAACTATCGCCAGCTCAAGTAATATTAGGATTGACTTCACACCTCCCGTTCCCGGAAATGTGTTTGATGGAATAGATCATGATTTAGACTACATCAATTCCAGCGTTGCCTTAGCAACTAGTTGGTCTGCGTTCACAGAGGCTGAATCTAGCATTAAGAAATGTATCCTAACTGTCAGTGAAGAATATCCTAATAAGAACGAATCCTTCACGGTAAAATTGGAAATGGAGGTTAACGCAAATGGTTCTGTAGTCCATCATTTCCCGATGATTTCAGGTCTTCAGTATGTTTCCCGTATAACCTGTAAAAATCATGACGGATTTGAATCGTCAAAACAGTCGAATGGTGTTACTGTTGACGACACACCTCCCTCGGTGGGGACAATACTTGATAAAAACGGCCAAAACTTTTCACATCAATATCAGGCATCTACAGGTGAGCTTCACGTCCGATGGACTAATGGTTATGATCTTGAAAGTGGAATTATGGAGTATTTGATAGCTGTTGGAACTGGGTCAAGCGAGGACAACATACACGAGTTCTTTTCAGTCGGATTAGCAAGGGAGATAAATGTTAAAAATCTTACTATGAACTCTGGTTCAACTTACTACATAACTTTGCAAGTTGTGAATAAAGCTGGAATAAGTTCACGTGTTTCGTCGAATGGTATCACAATTGACAACACACCACCGAAATTTCAACAAGTATGTATGATACGAAATAAGAATAATTTCCTTGAGAAATTATGTGTTTTTGTGTGCATATAATAATTTTCATGTTCGTCATAATAAATGCAATATCCTTTGGAAAACCTAGAAGCACGAGATTCATCTAGTTTTTTGGCGGTCATATTTTTTTTGAAATTTTTGCAAAACAATAACCTGCGCCAAAAAATAACGACTTGTTCATCTTTAGCGACTATCTTGAAATTTTTCAGGTCAAACTTCAGCATTCTGGAACAGGGTATATTAGTTCGAGCAATAATCTTATCGGAAACTGGGAGACATTTGATGACGAAAGTGGCATAGATTTTGTTGAATACTGTTTTGGTACAACTAGAGAAGTATGCAATGTACAAGACATGCGTCGTGCATTTGAGAAGAAGATGAACGTCACCTGTCTTAATTGCAAATTGCACCACAGGCATACATACTACATGACTGTTCGAATTTGGAATAAAGCAGGCTTGTTTAGTTTGGCGACATCAGAAGGAGTTGTAGCAGATTTAACGGCACCAGTTGGCGGCAAAGTGTCATTGAACAAAACGTACATGTCTTGTGTTGGTCATTGCAGTCTGGCCGTGGAGTTCAGTGGATTTGAAGATGAAGAAAGTGGGATTGGCGGTTGTGTATTTAGCATAATAACCGAGGACCAAACAACAATAATAATGCCTGTTCAGCCTACGACAAATCAAAACAAAATTGAAGTCAATTACTTGACACTGCAACATGGTGAACGATACAAAGTTATCGTTGCTTGTGATAATACAGTGGGGCAGCGAAGTTTGGACGTTTCTTCGCCACCAATACGGATTGATAACACCCCACCAGGAAAGGTAAGCATGCATTCCCCAAGATGAAGATAATGATAGAAGATTTATAAGGTCCAATCGTGTTGCACGTACTTTATTACTGGTTGGTAAATATAATAGACTTCAATTTGCCTTACAAGTTTGATAATGCACAAGTTATTCCACTCGTGATCTAGATAAGATAACTGCCCACCTGTCCGGATTATCTTCCGGTTTTGATCTTTGATATTTTTTGAAAACTGAATCATATTTCAAAGAGACAATACGTATCTGTTGAATAATTTAAATCCAAATTGTGATATTGCCTATATGTGCATTTTAGGGTTTTGTTATCATAAGTCCTGACCGAAATCACGATGTTAGACGTGGACATGTTGGCTGTCACTTTATTAATACGACGTTACGGATTTATTGGTCTCGTTTCTATGACGAAGAATCGAACATCGCCGGATTTCGTGTCAGCATTAGACGAAAACCACGTGGAAGTGACGTCATTCCTTATACATACTTTGGCATTACCTCAGAAGCCAGATTTCATCTTCACGAAAATTATGGCCTGTCTCTGGGACAAACAATCTTTGCAACGGTGGAAGCAACAAATAAGGCGGGCCTTTCAATTGAGGCAACGTCTCCTCTCACTCGACTTATTTCCCTTACAGACAGTAACCTTGTTAACGAGCAGGATTTCTTATGCGTTAATTTTTGAATACATCTAGTATAAGGTCTTGAATCAGAAAGCATCCCGCTTGAAAGACCGTTAGAGGTTGTTTCAGTTGTTTTATTTTGTCCATAAAAAGTAGATTTTTTTTCTGTTTTGAAAACTGATATAATTAGAAGTGCTTTAATTTTTAACATTTAATTTAGGGGAAGGTGAAAAATTTAGTTCAGTTTTTATCATTTGAGTGGCTTACGCCTGATTCACTACGTATACTGCAAAGCACACTTTTATTCTTATATCTACTGGAAACATTACATGGAAACACACTGCATGCTAGTTAATTTGCTGTATAATAATCATAGCAGTTAATTATAACAACGCGACTATAATGATAATTATATATTAATGACAATGTAGTAATTAAAAGTAATGACAGAAAATTGTATTAATTCAGTTGAATAGGAATGACATGTAATCCAGCCTTGTATCTTACGCGTTTTGTACATATTTTATGCATTGACATCTTTGTCAGTTTGTCTAAGAGAACAACATGTAATTCAAGAGTAAATCTAATCTACAAAAAATTGCACTACAGCAGTCTTGACGAAAACAAAGTGTATATGTATTTTAATTCTTTAATATCGCCATGGAAAACTACAAGATCAAGGATGTCGTTAAAATAAAACTACGACGTATACAAAGAGTATAGGCAAAAAGAAATGGTGCAAATTTCGTTTAAATGAGGATACGATTTGGCTGTATTAATGATTTCCTGCTTCAATGGCTAACGTCTAGGTAACGTTAATGGAGCTGTATCTGGGCTTACAGCTTAACCGCTCTTTTACAAAAAATCTGGCGACAGTTGTATAAAAGACTAGTTAACCTTTAACTGTAGTTAAGGACAGAATTGGCCAATCAGAGTCGTGTATTTCTGAGTTAACTAGGATTTAACTATGCAAAATGTAGTTAAAGAGTTCTGTCACCAAACAAACTTTCTACAGAGGTTCTATGCAATTTACTAAATTTTGAGTTTTAATATTCTTTCTACTTTTCTTATATTCTTCTTGGTTTAAATTAATTGGTTAAAATGAATTGATTAAAACTTTAAAAACCGGATAAATCGTGATTTTTAGTGTGCTAGGGTCTAGACCACCTTAGATTTGGAATCATACACAACTCAAATTCAAGCCATGAAGGTTGAGATTTAGCCACTATTCTATAGGAGGTGGGGTATTCATATAGGTGTATGCATATTTATAAATCTTCAGATATACACCGTAAAAAAAATCGCCCATCAAGGACAAAAGGAGAAATTGCTGAACTATAAATAAATGAAGTATAGTAAAATTCATCGCTTCTTACATGCACCTGGACAGAGTATCCTAAAAAATGTAGATTGCAGTAAAATGATTTTGTGAAAAGTTGACAAACGTGAAAAATATTGCCGTACATGCGAAGATCGCAAATTAGCTAGTTTTTCGGATACGTATGAATAGTGCATGAGTTTTCAATAGCTAGAAGATAATCACACAACAGTAGAAGTCAATGCTAGGAGTTTATTTCTTCACGCCCTTAGAAACAACGTACATTACTACACAACTATAGTCAACATGCATATATATATTGACTAAAAATATTAATATAGTCATGAAACTACGTATACAATTCAACGTAAGTAATTCAGGTATCTTATGGAAAATCCGTAAATCGTCATCGGGTATTCTGGAAATAAAAAAGCAACCATGCAAAATTGGCATATTTTTAATTTTTATTATTAAACCAAATAGGATACATAAAATGTAATAAAAAGCTCACAGTTTCTGTTAGAAACGAAAATTGTCACTCTGCATGTTCCTACTAAACATTCCCTCCTGTAGGAGTAAGCGACATTGTAGTTTCGCATAATTACCTTTTAATCTTTTCGTTCATCCATCTTAACAATGTGAGTTAGGGCCGTTGCGCCATTTGAGATATTTCTTCCAGTAATCATTCTTGGATAAACAATTTATTGTTATCTTAGTTTTGATCGAGTCGTACGTGTGAATAATCGGCGTATAGTAAATGTGCTAATTTTGAGATGGGTGGACTCCATATGGGGTCAAGATCAAATATCTTCTGGTGGTATAAAGTCGGTCTAATTCTCATGCAATTTGGGATTAACATCGGAATCTATTTTGGAAAAATTTGGGAAACGTTGTGTAAAAAAAACTTGAAATGCTCTTGATAACAACTAAAATGCTAGAACAAGTTAAGGGTAGTGTCGCAGCTCCTCACAAGAATGATTTTCACTGGCTGAACTTTACAATACATTCAGTCTGTTTCGTTCTTTAGAAAGCATATAGAAAAGCACTATCCAATTGGACGAAAGCTTCCGAGAGTTGCGATAATCAGTCTTCAACTTACCGCGGCGCTCGAGGAATAGTGTTCATTAACTTCTTCCCATGTGCAACATTCATTGTAACATTCTTCGTCAATGTTAGGCCAGAAGAATCTGCGATGATTCTTAAATTCCTTCGCTTTATTTTTGTCAAGTGTTACGTCATCAATAACATCATCAATCGATTTGTCTGAAGTCGTATCGCGATGTGATGAAATAAAGAATGGTTAGTAGTCGAGATACCTAATATTATGTAATTAAGTCGATGCTAAAGGGCTGCTACAGGGAGCTAAAATAGCTTCAAATATTGCACCGGAAATTTCAAATATTGAAACTCAAAACCTGCTGGTTTTTACTTCTCAAAAAACTATTTATTATTCTTCCTTTTCTGACTTTTATAGGCGTCTTATTATTATTATAGGCTGACATATATACCTTCTGTTAACGCATTTGCAGCGATCACTATGATCAGCATAAGAAGAGCGATGCTGGTTTTCATCATGACGTTCAACACAAATTTCAACGTATTTGACTCCTAGAAGATAACTGAAATGTTCATTCCCACGCGCAAAAACAGCTGCATGGGTTATCTAAAATGGTGTCGCAATTAAATGGTAAAAAAAGTAGGGCTTATAAACCAGAGTAATTTCGCTGAAGCCAAAGGTTTAGTTTTTTGATTGTTCAAAGCCTCAAACGTTGCCAATCTGATTAAATAAAATAAAAATGCTAAATCCATTGGTACATCTATATATGATCATATGTATAGTCATTGATAAATAAAATTCCCCAAAACAGTTAAAACTGAGGAAACTGAAAACTGCGTATTCTGTGAATCAGTAAACACGATTATTTTTCGAATTGGCGAAGCGAACACATGGAACACGCGCGATGCCGTTTGCCAAGCACATGAGGTGTGTTTCTTCTACAAGTCTTAAACCGGTCTGACTCTTGTCAAACCTTTAAGACATCGACCAGCTACGTAATACGTTAATTTTTTTAACCAGTTTTACCAGTTTCCACGCACGAAATTGTGGCACCAGTTTCCAGAGTGGAGACCACCGGACACATGCCTGCAAACGAATGTCCACTCACAAATATTCTATCCTCTATTTCGCATTAAATTATTTTCCTCCGGCTGGTACCCTGAGGCCCCGCATAGCATTTCCTCATGCATAGATCGGCTATATAAGCCTGTATATAGCTAAACTAAATTTTAGACAACGCGCGTAAAATACTAAACAGAAGGCCGGCGATATAAACTAACTTTGCCAAACCGACGGTTAGCTAGACTAACTTTCTTGTTCACGTTTTTACTGTAGCTAAGTGCACGCCGACACTATGAATTTAATTCAGTGAAGCAAAAAATAACTATTAATTGACATTGCCTATTGCATGGTGATTGAGTTGCATGCCCGTAGCGATGGTTTCATTATATAATTTTTATAATCACTATTACTCGACGACACATAAACTGAATACTTACAAAAATTTTATTTGATTTGCGATTTGGTTTTTCTAACTTCCAAGCTGCTCTATACACGGCGCCGAACAGTACCTACTGACGCGAAATATAGTATTGACCTAAATTTTGATGTCCGCGGTTTCGCAATTTTGCATCACAAAGAAGCTAAAATATTTTGCTGAAGCAAGAAATTCCAGGCATTTAAGTTGTTTGTGTTGTCTTGTTTATAACAAGACGCTTGTTTCCCGTTCACTCGGGCCACTATAACCTGAGCTTCGACTATTTTTTTGTAAAATCAGTGAGATTTTCAGTATAATTATAAGCTCATATTTAGTATCTTTATCCAATGCATTGCGAGATTTTGTTTACAGTGTCAGTGTATATATATACTCGATTACTTCACACGATTAAGATAAAATATTTTGCTGAAACAATTAATTAAGACGTTTCACTAAAAAAATGTTTGTTTTGTCTTATTGTTTAGATAAGGTGCCTGTTTAGGCGTTCAATCGGGGTACTATGACCTGAGCTTCGACTATTCTTTTTGCATCTTTACCGAATTTATTGAATATTGTGTAATAAATAATAATGGTAAAATGTAAATATAGATCCCCAATCCTAAAAGGTAAGTGGAATCGCACCCATCCTGTCGTAAGTACAGATTTTATTGATAATTGTACAGCTATATAAATATATCCACCCATTTGTCGACTGCATGTTTTTTGGACCATTAGGACCAAGTTCGTGTTAGCGCTCTCCAATGCTCAGGATCAATTTAAGATTGATTCACATTATGAATTATAGTGGTTCAGAGAAGACTTTGATGAGCATAATTTAAACAAATCCAAGAAATGTGTCTCCATTGCGGGATCGATGGCAGTATAATAATAATTTATGCCATATGACTGTGTTCTTGGCTAGGATTTTATCAGCCAGAATAATTTAGCTATATGTAAAAAGGTTAACCGGTTAATTATACCCATTCGCAACCGTTTATGAAGGCAGATCGAGGAGGTGTCAGTCAATGAGTTGAGTCAATGCATTAAACCCTTGTGTCTGGCAGCTACAATGCCACCAAACAACAATGCCGCCAGACACAGTGGTTTAGTATTGCAAGTGTTGTCGTAAAACGTGTCGTGTTGTTTGAAATAAGTCAACATCGGAAGCAGTTACGGCGCCAGGTGAAAATGATTGGAGGGGATTGGGGCTCATGATTTGCGGGAAAAGATCTTATTATAAGTGAAGCGATAATCGCATAGAACTAAAAACTACTTATGTAACATAAAAAGATTTTGGTGAGGGGGGGGGAATGGGGGCAGACTAAAAAATTTAGGGGGAATCGGGGGAATGCACCTCCTGTCCCCCCCCTGAGGATACGATTCAGGATACGATTTGGCTGTATAATGATTTTTGGCTTTAATGAATAACGTAGGCAAACTGAAAAACGTCAGCTGTCCCAACATTTTCTAAAAGGTATAACATAATGATGATATAGGGGGAAAGGCGACACCCAATATACTGTTTATTAAAATACAAAACATCCTCTGGCTATAAGCTTTCAAATAATGTACCTTAAACACTATAGAATCCACCGTGTTAATTTTTGAGAAAGCCTAAAATTTTGTGTTAAACATATTGCGGATACATTCGTTCAGGTGACGAACATCCCGCGAGCAGGGAGAATGCGGGAATTATGGGATGATTATATTAAGGTATTTGTTTTATCCATTTTAGGCTATAAAATTTAAAATTTCATCAAGTAACTGTATCGAAAATACTGCTTTTTTCATCGCGTATTTGGAACTTAAGTTCAGTCAAACTAACTGATAAAAAAGTGAAGAAACTCGCCAAAATCTATTATTTTGTCGCCGAAGCTGACAAAGGAGTAGTACCCATGCATAATGAAGTCAGAACAACCACTGATTTACCCGGCCTAAGTCTAAGGCTTCGGAACTTACCCCTAGCTTCCATATGTAGCCTACATGCATGTATGTCTCGAGCATTATTAACTTGCATGAATTGCATCCACCGAAATTAATGCGGCGGCACAAGACATTAGCAACATCGTTTGAAAGCATCACAACTGAATTTGCAGTTCCCGTCATGCGTACAGACGTAAATAAAAAACTATATATGCATATGCGAATTAGTGACATTAGTGTATTTAGTCCAAGGTTTCATATTCCCCCAGCTATATTCGAAGTCCATACTATGGAAATATGCTATACGGATACTGTTTCCATGCATACTATATATATATATATATATAATTATAATATACTATATCCTATATATTTTTATTAAGTGTTTGGACTATACGTGTAAAGTGTATAGGAACTACAGTTGATGAGTAAAGCCTAAGGTTTCCGAAGGTTGATCGCGAAGATCGCGAATTAGTTTTTCGTACGTATGAATAGTGCATGAGTTTTCAATAGCTAGAAGATAATCACACAACAGTAAAAGTTAGAAGTCAATGCTATAGGAGTTTATTTCTTCACGCCCTTAGAAACAACGTACATTACTACACAACTATAGTCAACATGCATATATTATATATTGACTAAAAATATTATCATAGTCATAAAACTACGTATACAATTCAATGTTAAGTAATTCAGGTATCCTATGGAAAGTCCGTAAATCGTCATCGGGTATTCTGAAAATAAAAAAGCAACCATGCAAAATTGATATATTTTTAATTTTTATTAATAATAAGTAATAAATAGCTCAAAGTCCCTGCTATAGGATTAAGCGACATTGTAATCTCTCATATTATTAATTACCATTTAATCTTCTTCGTTCATCCATCTTAACAATGTGACTGAGGGTCTTTGCGCCATTTGACATATTTCTTCCAGTATTCAATCTTGGATAAATGATTTATTGTTATCTTAGTTTTGAATCGTGCGAATAATCCGCGTTTAGTAAAAATTAATATGATGATTTTGAGATGCATGGACCCATGCATGCATGGTTAAAAGATAAAATATTTTCTAGTGGTAAAGTCGGTCAATTTCTCATACAATTTAGGATTAACATCGGAATCAATTTTGGAAAAATTCGGACGAAAGATTTTACACCAAATTGCACTCCACTCAGTGCAATTATATATACAATAATCAGTCTTCAACTTACGGCGAAGTCTGAGGAAAAGTGTTCGTTAACTTCTTCCCGTGTGCAACATTCATTGTAACATTCTTCGTCAACGTTAGGCCAGAAGAATCTGCGATGATTCTTAAATTCCTTCGCTTTATTTTTGTCAAGTGTAACGTCATCAATAACATCATCAATCGATTTGTCTGATGTAGTATCGCCTTCAAAATCAGATGTAATTAAATAAAGAATGGTAATTAGTCGAGATAATATGTAGCATTCAGCCACAAGGTGCTAAAGATAAAATAGCTTCTAGTGAACTTGAATTTCAAATATTGCACCGGAAATTTCAAATTTTGAAACTTGCATATGATACAAATATCCGTATTGGTTATTTTGACGACAAATCTCAGGTAAAAAGAGTTTTTCCGAAGATCGATCTACATCGGGAGGTCATTTCTCAATGTTTTCAACCGTGTTATTGCATGTGTTCTCAATTCCTCCGGCTGCGATGATTTTATTGTGTGTATAGAATAAAAAATTTCTAAGAATAGGCCCAAGTCAAAATCTGCTGGTTTTTGCTTCACAAAAAAACTAGTATAGCTTTTTCTTTGCGGACTTTTAGGTGTATATTATCATTAGGCTGATATGCCTATATGGTACCGTAGTGCTGAATAAGCTACTCTACTAGAGTAAAATTCTATTTATCTATCTATATACCTTCTGCTAAGGCATTTGCAGAGATCATTATAACCAACATAAGGAGAGCGATTATGGTTTTCATCATGACGTTCAACGCAAATTTCAACGTACTTGACTCCTAGAAGATAACTGAAATGTTCATTTCCACGCGCAAAAACAGGTGATCTAAAATGGTGTCGCAATTAAATGATAAAAATTACGCAAGGGGTGGTTTGTTTTGCAGCGACCTATACACGTCCAAAAATTGATCAGGTTGTCGCATCAGGGGTGAACAATGCTGTGCTGAACCCTGTGAACAGTGTTGTTGAACCTTGTTAAATCATCAATGTTAATGCAATCACGATACAATGTTGTTGTAACAAGTTGCAACAACATTGATGATTCAACAATATTGTTAACAATACTGTTCACAATCAATCAATCAATCAATCAATCAATCAATCAAAAGCTTTATTTAACCACGGTAAAATTTACAGTATTAAAAAGTTTATTGAACTTTTAAGAACAAATAACAAAGTACAGGTAAGACTGAACGATTTAAGATAAACTTATTACTGATTTACAAGATTGATTTTCAATCTCTCTTTTAAGCTGGTTAAGAGAGCATAATGCTCGTACATTTAGTGGTAACTCATTCTACAACACTGCGCCACTATAACTAAAACTTCGTTTAGCATAATTTGTTTGCGGTTTTAGCACAAATAAAGTGTTTTCAGAATTTCTTAAGTTGTATCTAGTGCTGCGAACTTGAAATAAATCAAGAAGATATGTCGGTGTTAAATCTTTCATATCTAGCTGGTATTCGGTTGGTATAATTCTTGAAAATAATGCAACAAGTTATTTATCAACGTCTACTGACACACATGTCCCATTATTCTGCTTTGCATGAGAATAAAAATTTTTAAGCACACAAAGACATGGGCACACATTGCTTCCCTGCATTTCGACCAAATACAACATTACCTTGACTATATGTAGCACAGATAATTTTATTAAAGGACTTGGATTAGTTTCAATGTCTTAATTTACATAGCCTATATAAGCTTGCAACAATTTATCGTATGATTTAAAAATATTAAAACGGTTAAATTGAAGAGTTACCATGCATGCTAGTATAAATTTCATACCATCCAATTCAACTGCTTTGATAAAAGAAACAAACATCGCATTCTTGAATCTTCTCACTTGACATATGTATATTCATTAGCATCAAATGTCGAACTTATAAACTTCTCCAAACTGTTCACCTTTGTAGCTTTTGTATTTATTTCAGTAGAGGCTTTAGCAATATTCGCCTCATGAACTTTGGCATTGCATTGCATTGCATAGTTTCTTGGCAGTCGTGGACTGCAATAATAGTACATAATAATAGTACATATAATTGATAATTTGTCGATATATCTTAAACCGAATAATGCCAGCATGCAAAGCAAGAAAATACAGTCACAGCACAGATTAACTGTTTTTAATCTGTAACGAGACTGTTTCTTGACATGGAAAGCAGAAAGCCCATTTTTAGACTTGTAGATAAGTTCCAATATAACCAAGGAGCAGCGTGGCAGCGTCTTCAAACAACTTAGTATCAAATGTGGACCAGGTATAACAACTGCCTAAATAGACAAAACACTCTCGACGTTTCGACCTGAGGGCCTTCGTCAGGAGAGTTAACTCTCCTGACGAAGGCCCTCAGGTCGAAACGTCGAGAAGTGTTTATTCACTTTTAGACTTGGTCTACCACAGGAGCCCTAGTAATAATCTGCCGTTGAGTGATATAATGGATCACAAATATTCTAACGAGAAGCATATACGCGAGTTAAAAAGGGGGAATAACCATGTTCTGAAGAAAGTTAAGTTATTCTTTCAACGTAGCTCAAATGCAGAATAACAAGCCACATGCAGTCACTTAATAATCCAAAGGACTTTCGGACGATTTGGGTGAAGCAGGAAGTTTGACGATAAAACTTGTTTGTTTATATAGTGTCTGTATATATATTTTATTTCATGAAGTTTTATCCAATTATACTGCTCCTTCTATGACTTGATCAGATAGCCTGCATGACTTTATGTGTATCCATATTTCTAATTTTAATAGATCCTCCATTTTGCGTTAAATTATTTTCCATTTCTACCGGCTGTATGTACACCCGCATGCGACCTTCTTGTAACCTATTCTGGTACCTATAGCTGGTTCATAGCATTCAGTTCCTCGTGCAGGCTATATATTGATTGGATATTATTGCATGTCCTTGAAACTGCATGGCAATGCTAATAATCGTTGCATGAATTAATGTACATTATTGATTGTATTTCATTATACATGTCGATCGGCTATATATATATATTAATATATAGCTAATAAACTAAACTATAAAACGGGGGTAAAATACTAAACAGAAGGCTGGCGAAATAAACTAACTTGACTCTTATCAAATATCAATATCAAACTGACGGACCGACGGTTAGCTAGACTAACTTGTTCACTCTTTTAGATGTACCCCGTACACTATATTTTAATTCATACGGCAAAAAATCACCAGTTAAACTGCTCTAGTTAACATTGCGTATTGCCTATATATTGCCATATGGTGAGTATAATTTATATAACTATTACTCGACAACATATAAAAATACTTACAAAACTTTTATTTGATATGGGATCTTGTACTTCTAACTTCCAAGCTACTCTATACACGGTGCCGAACAGTGCCTACTGACGTGAAATATAGTATTGACCTGAATTTTATGTCCAGGCTCTCAATTTTGCATCACAAAGTCAAATAAGCTGAAATATTTTGCTGAAGCAAAACGTTTAGCTGTTTAAGTTGTTTGTGTGGTCTCGTTAATTTATAATAAGACGATTGTTTCCGCGTTAACTCGGGCTACTATAGCCTGCATGAGCTTCGCCGGACTATTTTTTTTGCAAAGTCAGTGAAAGTTTCCGCAAGCTCATATTTAGTATATATATCTTTATCGAATGCATTGCCAGATTTTGTTTATAGTGTCTGTGTATATTCGATTATGTCGCATGTAAAAATATTTTGCTGAAACAAAATATTTTGTTTTGATTTTGTCTTGCCTGTTTAGGCGTTCAATTGGGCTACTATATATATGTTAACTGCATGAACTTCGACTATATATCTTTTTACGTCTTAACCAAAGTTATTGAATATTGTGTAACGAATAATGATGGACAAATCTATCCATTTGTCGATTTGACATTTGCGGACCGAGTTCGTGTGAGTAGTTCTCTTCAAATTCAGTATACTCGTGCAGGATCAATTAAAATGATTCATATAAGTGCCGTTCAGAAAACAATTACCTTGATGAGCATAAATTAAACAAATCTCTTTCGAGCATAAATTAAACAAATCCAAGAAAGAGAAATGTGTCTCTACTATACGGGATGGCAGTAATAATATACCATATGACTGTGTTCTTGGTTAGGATTTTATATGTAAAGAGGTTAACCTGTATATATGTATATATAGGTAATTAAATTTTGAAATTTAGAAAATTGTGTTGCAATTCGTTATACAGGAATTTCCTATATATAGGGGATCAAACGACGGGGGTCAAAAACTTCCTGTGTTTTGATCGAGTAATTGAGTGATATTGCACTTGCAGCCGAAAAATGCAAGATATTTTTATAATAAAAAATCCAATACTGATTAAAGCAGCGACACCATAAAAGTTAACTGGACATTAAAGTTAACTGGAGTTAATACGGTAGAGACGTCGTTACAAAAAGAACTAAAAAACTCTAGATCATGCAATAACAATCATGCTACTACAGATAATCTTTTAAAATTTAAAATCAATTATATACATTTCATCAAAGCTCGCGTTAACCGGTTCTTTTCCATCGACCAAGGGTAGACAAAATTCATTCGAATTAGAGAGGAGTTCGAGTTAAGCGTGGTATAAATTACTATAAAGAACATTACCAAATCCAAGGGGGATTGGATTTAGTTTGAGTTAGCGGGGGACTACTGCATGTATATTAGCGAACTTGTAGCTATACTTTCCTATGCTTGTATCCAACAATTTAAATGAGTAATTGTTATTATTCTGCATGTCTAAGGGAAGCGTAAATACCTTGTTTCCTCTTTATTCAATGGCCAATGATTGCAATTTATAAACTAAGAACTATGCTTGTGAGAAGTTTGCTTTATAGAGGCAACATTCTCCGTAACTGCATCATATTTCGCTGCATGCGGGGTAAGCACCCGAGCAGGCGTCTTTTTATACGTATATTGTACTCACTTTCTCTCTGAAATGGAATCCGACAGTTAGATTTGTCTCCAGGATTACAATGTAGCTATATACCACTATACTCCACACACATCGTGCATGGTGACCGCGCTCAACGAAAGAATTAAATCAGTTTAAAATGAATGCCATACAGGTATCAAATTCTGCGTTTATATAGGGCCATATCAATAAATTGCATAGCCATAGATGTGTAAATACTATGCCGGAGAGAAATCGAGTTTAAGTTAGTAGTGCGACGCGAAAATAAGAGGAAGTAAGGAAATTTGCCTTGAATTTTGATGCATGGTGTCTATACATGCGTGTTAATATGTTTTTTGTATGTTAAGACTTAAGTGCCACGTACTGTAGTGCAAAACACCGACTGTACTATAAAACAGCGGGGAAATACCGAAAATTCAATAACAACCAAAAAGTTATGTTCGTCCTGTTCGAGAGGTCCACTATTCACCGCCGATATTATTTCATGTATCAGGCATGGTGGGCCCAGGAAGTTTTTGCCCCCCGTGGTTATTTAATTCCTAAAACAATGGATAATAGACCAACTTTTAATTTAGGCAACAAAAAAGGCGAATTTGGCAATTTCATATACTTTTTTTACTACGGCTGGAAGTGTACAACTAAATTAGTTAAACGCTTCCGGCCGTAGTAAAAAAAGAACTGAATTAAGCTGGATTATAGCTATAGCTATGTCAAACTAGGCACATTCAAAAAAGGCGCTTTTTGTGAAAAAAGTGAAATTTAGGAGTTAAAATCAATTAGTATAATCGGTGACGAAGAAAATTCCTTTAAAAATAACCACAACACTTCATTCATCAGCAAGCACTGCCCTTGAAGAATGATAATATAGCATCGCCGACTTTCGACAATCCGACATATGAAAAACCGAATAACGACTTATAAATTACAATAAATTCCAACAAGACAGGTCTAGGTGCAAACGAGTGAAGTAATTGATATGAATATTACGTGGATATGAATATTACATGGCTATGTTCCTTTTTTTCGACATTTTGACATGCATATCCACTCTTCAACATTTATCAAAACAAGAAAATAGCGGCAAAAATTGCAGGTGTAAAGAGACTTGATAGTGTTCCCAAACCGACATGAGGAATTGAATTTTGCGGTCTTTGTCCAATTTTTTCTCCTTTTATAAGATGCTTGACGTGGGGGAGGGGAGTTCATCATCACCAGATTGAGCTGATCCTTAAGTAAACAGCGTCCTGCCTTAAACAATGTTGACTGCGTTACAGCCATTTTAAAAGCATATTGATGAACTGAATTGTCTTAAGATTGTTGGGAATTTTTTATTTCTTTAGGCGAAGAGCTAAAAAAAGCGGCTCTCGTTTCTCCAAAGACAAATTCGAGGCGACGCGGGATACAATATCCAATTTTAATACCGAAAACAAACGTGTGATATCTTTTTGTGAAATCAAAAACAGTATTTCTCTTAACTGAATTCAGCTGTCCAGTCTTCAAATCTGTTATCTGAAGTCTATTTCAACAGTAAAAGGAATATTAAACGTAGAAAGAAACTTGGTTTTGGCCAAGTTACAGTCGGGCCAAGTGAACTGGTCGGCTTTTATAGTACCTTTGTCTTTGAGGTTAACAGTGCACGAGTTAATCGAAAATCATTGATGAAAGAAAGTGCGGTTTTCGTGACCTAGATATAAGTATATTAATTATTCTTCTCGGCTAGGGCCAGGCAAATTTTAATCAAGAATCTGCACCGCGCGCAGAGTTTGGCAAAGCTTATTCTTCCTTCGGCTTCGACATGACCAGACACCAACCTCTTACATGCCTGTATAAAACTGCATTTGCTATATATATACGTATAGAGTCGCATTAAAATCCCAGCAAGATTGATACTCACAATGTGCAAATGGCCCGAAATGCTAATATGCCGAAATTAAAATAAAAAAGCTTAATATATGTGTAAGTGACTGCGGTTTTCTCCGTTTATTTTGATATTGTAAGAATGGAGCCACCTGCTCAAGACTTGAATCGCTTACCTCGAATATTATACATATATACATAGGGTTCATCAAAAATGATATCCGTTTCCTGATTAAATTTTATTATTTTGCTAACATACATAATACTGTCAGTTTGTAAGTTGTAATTGTGGTAACTTGTAGAATATATTGCGATTTTGCTTAATAATTATCAGTTTTGATAAGAGCACTGTGCCGAATTTCAGTTTCGATTTTATGAAAATAATCTTCAGCCTCATGAAATATTCATCTTACAACTATTTGCATGTTGTTTCACAACAAATGAGCGTCTTGTTTTACATTTGTGAAACAATTGTAGATCACTGACTATGCCGATTGCGTACTGAGTCAGTGTGTCCGAAACGAACCGGTTAAAACTTTTCCTTGTTTTTCCAACCGTCTATAATTTCTTTTTGGAAAAGGCAGAATTTTTAAAATTTTGTACCTCGCGTAAGCATCAATCGAATGACGGCTGTTTAATACCGGTTTATTTGCAGTACAGTCCTTTACTTAAAAAAGTACGCTTCAAGAATAGAAGCGGGAAGAAGGCGAAAATTTGGGGAGTTTCAAGTTTGTACCTTCGAATGAATTATAAAGACTGATTTATAACCGACGATTGCTGTTTGTATTCATTTGAAAGGACATTTTACAGCTGACACAAGGGCAAATAGTCTACGGAAATGTTGAATTTTGTGTCAATACGACGAATGATTATATTGTCAAGCAACGCTGGAAAGACGATGCCCAGCAGAAGATGTTTGAACTACTATAGACCAGATGATCTTATTCCGTACACAGGAAAATTTACCAACACAGGAGCGTTGAGAAACCAGCCGAAGCAAACTAAATTTGGTTTGATAAAGGTGTTTCTTCTCACTGTCCCAGCAGTTTTATTTGGAGCTTTCGTTTCCAATAAAGGCGCGGAGATCTTGGAGGAAAGTGAATTGTTTGTTCCAGATGATTAATTATACACTTTCAACTATATTGGACTATTTTTATTTCAGAGTTTACTGAGCGTGAATACTGACTGATTAACCCGGCATAGACGATATAGTTAAAATATTCCTGTAACGTAGCCAAATGCAGACAGTTGACGAAATGCGTTGATATGTTCCACGCAGTCACATATTTGTAACGTTTATATTCAACACTTCCGGTTTCTTTTAAACGGCCAGTCTTCACGATATATACTGAGGCATAGAACTATGTTCTATCCTTATCAGATGTTAGCAACGGAACTAATGTTGAAATATTCTTTTCTAAATGGACACTAAACACTATATCAGGGTGTATTTCCGTGCGTATTTCTTACTTGCATGCATTGTATTAGTAGAGGCCGAAAAAAAGTCTTGGAATTCGAATTCTTTGATCCTCTTGGATTCAGAAGAATAATCAAATATAAAGAAAATATACCGGCTGTACGTTTTTGCTTTAATTAACTGAAACTTTTCATAGCGAGTCGCCAGGCCGATGGTAACCCGCGCATTACCTGACATGTTTAAAATTGCATGCAAATAAATAGCATCTTCGCCCGCAATCCCGTTCCCGCCTCAAAATAGTGTTTGGTTGCAGCAGGATGGCCTGGTTTCGAGACTGCATGCATGGGAGCAGTGAACTCAAATAAGACTGGAACGCTCACTCTGTCGTTTGAAGCCAAGATGGCGGACACTGAAGCTTTTCTTGTAGGCCAGTTTCTGAAATTTCGTAGGTAAAATGGCGGCAATTTTATTTTTCCTTTGAAATTTCCGCGCCTGGATCATATACCTACAAGAAAGGCTTCTCGATCCGCCACTCATTAATGAGGGAAAGTCAGAGAGTGAGCGTTCCAGTCTTATTTGAGTTCACTGCATGTGAGTCGCTCTGCCTCTAGACCAATCTCTATCCCAGAGCCTGCGATCCTCCAGCGGTGAAACGGAGGCAATCTGGGATAATCGAAACTAGAAATGACTCTGATTGGTCGTTGACGCCATATGGAATGTTGTATAACACAGCGAATTACAAGTAATACTTTCAGAACTGGCTTCTGGATAGGATTATTCCAGAGCCTCCGTTTCCTAGCCTCCGTAGAGCTGATTGGCTCTTGATGTATTTCGATCGTGTGCCCCCAAATACTCTTCGTGGAGATGAGGAATATCGACCTGTTGGATTGTCACCGGGGATTTCAGACTTCCTGACATTTTTGACACTCTATGTGCAACGCTCAGTCAACTGTCGGCCAGGCAATGTCACATTGTATATACAACATCGCCGCATAATAATCTCTTGCAATTAGTGGTGCATTCAGTTAAATAAGATGTATTTACATGAATGACAAATTAAATTTCTCAGAGTATTTTCCTGAGAAGGTATAACCTTGTTATACAGTGAGTTTGTGAGAAGTATATGTAAATTTTGACTGTTTTAACCAACAATATTTCTTCGTCTGCATGCATGAGTGTGAAGGGAGCATTGAAATCATGCCTCATTAAAGTGTTTAAATGATGAAATACTAATAAAATTTAAAGGTTAAAAATTTTTTTTAATGATCTAGTCTTGAAACACTGATATCAGTCAATTGGCGACCGCTAGTTTCGTCGTTTAGACCTCTTCGGGATTCTCTATTTTTGGTGGGATATAAGTGACGGGGCCGGTGTCATTTCATGATGGGAAATAAGTGTCGAGTTAATGAAATCATGCCTCAATACCTTCTAATGGTAAAGACTATTTAGGCAGAGTGGACGTCGTCTTGTCGCCTCATTGCAGATATAATTTACTTTGTCTAATCAGTTGCTAGTTGTTATAAACTTTCATAAAGTTGATAAAGTTTTATCGCGCCGCAAATTGATCGCTCGAAGGGCTGCAACATACTCGATATAAAAATTGCATTCCTGACGTTAGCACCCTTTTCCCTGCCGTGCGTAAGGCGTTGTTCTTCCAAAAGAAAATCAAGCTATTGAATGTACTGTTCATTGTGAATATAGTAACTCCCCAAAGGTAGGACAATCTTGCATTAGTTGAAGTTGGATTTTTATTGAACACGATGTAAATACTGGCTGGAATGTACAGCATCACAAGACAGGCAACTGAGAGTAAACAGGTTGAAATGCTTTTCAAAGTTGTGAATTTTTTCCCCGGTGATACTGTATTGTTCTTGCGCATCTTTCTTGAGATTTTAAATAACTTGTAATTGATGAAAATGAAAGGGGGGAAATACGTGCCGAAGAAAATGATTGAAGCCACTTGGGCAGTAAACGCTCCGCCGTTTCCTGTATGTACAACTATTGATGATATTGTAGTTAAGATGACTATTGCTGCGGTCATTTTTAACAACATACGCTTGGTTACTGATGCTCGATGAAAGATTGGATACGATACGGCCAGATAGCGTTCAATGTTCATAATTAATATTGCGTACAGAGAATATCCGCTAAAAACATTCGCCCACAATAAGTGAACCTTCATTTTTTCTGATAAATCATGCCTTTCATTTAACCACAGGACAAGTTGAACGACCAATAACGGGTGATTTGTCACGACTGCGAGTAAATCGAAACACGACAACATCATGATCGTAAAATTGCATAATTTCTTTCGCAGTTGCGAGGACTTTAAAAGGCTGACTATAACCAAAGTGTTTAGAGCTGTCCCAGAGAATGTGAAGCTTATGTTCACAACGGACAAAAATATTAACTGCGTCTGCGTGGAAATTTTTAAATCCATTCTCAAAAGTTAGACTCGGTCTTGCATGTTCTGTCCAGGGTGTCACTCATAGTTGGCTGCAATTGAGAGTTGCATGGATGCATCAGTTCTCTTCGTGATGTTCTGAGTAAATATTTTCTTGCTGCCTTACCATCTGCAGACAGCTGGCAAATCTTCGCGTATTTAATAACTATTTTAGTGACCGATAATCTACATCTCAAAGGGATCCATGGAACCCTTAGAAACCATTGATAGTCTGATATAAGCACAAATTAGGACGGAGAGTCTTCTGAAGTTCTGTCCATGCCGGTCTTTTCTGATGAAACGTGTCGGTCTCAGACCACTCATCGTCTCATTATCTCATCACTTTTAGTTCACGTCGTTTGCGGCATACGCAGTCAGTTTACAGGTCAACTGAACTGGATGATTCAAGTGCAATACAAGTTAATGTGAGAAAAAAAGGTTTAAAAAACTCGGTTTTTCTCAACAGCGTTAAGCCGTTACTATTCTTAAACTTAGCTTTAAGGAACCTTCAAATGAGGAATTTTAACGGCTTCCAAACTATATAGATAATGAAAGCAGCTGCAACGTAAGAGCTTTTTATGTACTTGGAACCAGTATATATCATCAGCATGAACACTTTACTCTTTAGCATGCACAATTAGAACGTTTTAAAATATAATTGCCAAATTAGACACTTACCGAATTTGCTGGAGTGAACACAAAACAGTACGTAGCTTAGAAACAAGGCGGGCAATGTAATTCATTGTTTGAAGGATATCTTTCATTGCCCGAGAAAAAATTTGGAAAGTGTGTGTTGGCTTTAGATGATGAAGGCAGCACAAGTAAATTGCCTAACTAGTTCAAGCGAAAAATGTGAAAAACAGCGTCGGGAAGATGTACAGTTTTCTATTTGACTGTGGACCTGCACGGCCGTCACTACAAGCTGTTTGGAGGGGAGGGGGGTTGTATTTTCATATATTAATGTTCATATACTCGTAAAAACAATAGCTAACCAGGAAAAAATAATTACGTACAGACTACAATATATGTTTTCATAACCATGTATTTTTCAATAGAAAGTTTAGTAACAAAATTTACAACTAAACAGAACTATAATATATATATTTATATATATATACTCTTATTTTATAAATATCAGTAACATCCAATTTATTTCATGCACAATTATTTTACAAAATCACGTTTTACTTTTTTTTGTGCAGTTCTTAATATATTTGAAAATGCGCTAAGCGCAAATATTTCAAAATAGACCAATGTAACAAAATATTAATTACAGTTTGTACTGGGTGATCAAAGCTTATATAACCCCCCTCTCTCTCTCTCTCTCTCTGGTGGTGTTTTTGCATGTCTATCCAGTTCAAAATGTTGCAAAATTTAACCATGAAAAACCTGCCCTAGATGACTAAACCCAAAACTTAACAAAGTCTGTACAAAACTTAACAACTAAACACAGAAGTCTTAGACCTAACATAACTTTTTTATGTTTCTATTGCTATTTTCTATTATAAACTTTAATTTTCAACTCTTGCAGCATCATAGATTCTCATGAACAGCATTACAGACTGGTTTATGTGCACGCCAGTCACTTTTCTGACAAATTCTACTACAATATGGTTGCGCACATCTGGAACATAATTTTAATGTGACATCATCGCCTTCTTCTTTATCACAATAACCACATTTTCGCTTTGGTTCTTTAACATCCTGCAACTCGTACGTTTCCAAAGTTTGGAAACTACCACCACTCAGCTCCAAGAATTCTTAGGGAAAATAACTTGTGATTAGTCTGTATTTATCACACACAGAAGTTGTAACTAACATGCAGTACAACTACAAGTGAACCAACGATATAGAAAAGACATGAAGCAGAGCTTGCACATGCAGCTTGTTTTGACAGTGAATTGTGTATTTTGTAATTGATCAGCTAGGCCATGCTTTTCCATGCTCAACTTTCCTATATGGTTCAATAATCACCAGAATTGATTATTTGTACCTGGGAAGTTGCATGGTGTATTTTCATTAGTTTGAAGAATATATTGCTCATGAACTCCATAGCCACATTTCTTCATAACTTTAGTCCATGAACCAAATGTTTTGGGTTTTTCATCTTGGGGTAATTTGTCAATATAATCACTCATTACACTCCATCTTTTATCTGCCTCTTTCTGGCGAGGAGCACCTAGACAAGATGAGATCAATTAGCTATTAATTAGTTTGTTTTTAACAAGAGGAGAAAAAAGTATAAAGAGGTTGGTAAACCTTCAGAACATTAACACACACCTGGATTGATTTGGGCAAGAGTTTCGATAAGAGATTGAAATGGTGGAGGCAAACTAGAATATGATTCAGCTTTCTTGAACCATTTTATAGCTTTGGTAACATCCTTCATCGTGCCAACACCCTCCATATACATCATACCAATCTGTGTAACAAAGGCAGGTTAACTAACAAGAGTTGCAAATTGTAATTTCTTCAAAGTTGTAACATTTTTCTTTACCGCTTCCTACCTCGGGATCTCCGCCTACTAAAGCTCCCTGTAATCTGGAAATTACACACAGACGCACATGGTTAAAGGGCGATGGTATACTTTTGTCTTCACCTTCCTGGGCATTGTTGTTGGCTACCTGACAATGTCAGATCACACTTGGCGGTCGCTTAGCATGACTGATTACTGACGACCCTTACCTTGTTATTAATCTTTCCAATATTTTCTTTAGCAATCGACGCAGGATTTTTTACAGCTTCCTTATACCAATAGAAGGCTTTTGACTCGTCTTTCTTCAATCCACCACGGCCGGTTTCATACAATTGCGCCAAAGCAACTTGAGCGACGCCATGGCCATTTTCTGCAGAGGCTTCGAACAGCCTTCTCGCTTTTACATCGTCAGGCTTAATTCGTTCGCCTTTATCGTCCATAAACCACAAGCCATATTGATACTGGGCAAAGGGATTACCAACTTTGCATGCTTTCTCGTAATAACGGCGTGCGGATTCGTAATCGTGATGGATAAACTCCAGAAGTTGTGCTTGCTGAAATTCTTTCTGTCCCGGCCACTGCCTTGAAGCTGATTTTGTCTTCTTGGCTTTCTCCATTTTTGAAATTCTCAGGTACACCTAATCACAAATCGCAACTTGATTTTAAACACGCGTTTTAGAGATTCAAATGCTCATGAAACTTTTATCTAGATGGTTTTATATGTTTTTCGTTGAACACGTGTTTACAGTCGTTATTTCAACGAAGAATGACGTTTTAAACGCCCGGAAGTGTACACGAAAAACGCGCAGTGTCAAATCAAAATATCGTATGTTAAAATCGAAAAGTTTGTGACTAAAGTTTTAATTAATATGGATCCACAGCAAATATATTCCCATTTCTTACTAACTCATAACTTTTTCAAGGGGTAATTTTGTTGTAAAATATAATGTAAAGGGTAAAAGATACTTTCCGTACTTGTAGAATTTCGTATTTACCGCCATTTCAATCGGTTAGTAACCCCCCGGAAACGATATCCAAATTGCGATGTTTACCGGGAGGGCCAACGATATAAAAGTTTTTGTTTCTGTGGCAACCGCAATTAATGTTAGTGAAAACACACTATAATATAATGAAACTGATGAACGTCAATATTTGAAATATTTGGGTTGACAAAGAACGAAGACAAAATTTTGGTAATTTCAAATTAATAAGTAATACTAAATACCGGTATAAAACCCGTCATCTAGAACAGTCATGCAAGCACAAGAAAACTGTCATACATTGAAAAACCTACAACTATATTTAAAAGTACACCTGTAATATTTAAATCGTTGTTTATATAATGCTTGCATGAGTCTTGAAGATGTCGTCCATGCGGAGGGGGGAGTCTCAAGATCTGGAACATGGCTTCAGTGACTCAATAAGCGATGAAGATGCTTTTGTCTTGCATATAAATGCTAAAGAAACCCACGAAAATGAAAGGTTTTTTATTAATTAGTATTACTTTTAAACTTCGACTTCACTTAGTTTTATTTGTAAGCGGTTTGTTGAATATAGAAATATTTTATTAATAGTCATAGAATTTGTTTTGTTACTCAACAAAACAAACACATTCTCTCTGTATATAACCCCTGTCCAAAATAGGCAGGTTGAACAAAAAAATCCCCTGATCCTGTCATTATTTCATGTCAATTAATGTACAGGTTTATGAAAAACTATTCCCTCTACTATTACTTAACTACTTTTACACTAACAGTACTACCATTTTTGACACAACACAGAAAAAATTGTACCTGTACCAATTTGATCTACAAAATGTTCAGGCAGCCTTACATAATTGCCCATCAGAGATTAAAATTGGTATAGTGCCAATTTTAGCCTTGAAAATAAATTGAGTGTAAAAGTGTAAGCAGAGCTCCAGTGAATTGTCCTTTATACAGACTATATGCTGCATAATCATAATAGCTCAGAGTTAATTGTGTTATCTATGAAGTATGAATATCTGAACAGAATTTATATATAATCTTTAAGACTGATCTAACCAGGAGCACTGATCAATGGAGTTTGCATGCAATATAAAATGTTTAGCAGCATATTTATAGTTCCAAAAAAAGGGAATGAATTGATTCAATGTTAGAACTATTTATGAAATAAATGTTTTACAATTTGTCTAGTCAAAAAACCAAGCACTTGGCAAATAATAAGAAAAGATTTAAAAGACCAAAATCCTCGAATGGGGCGTTGTTGGTAACACCAGCAACATCACAGAGAAATATGGCCTGGTCTTCAGCTAGTGAACAAGAATTAATAAAGAACCCAGCATTTAGGTTTAAACCTAAATTGAGTCGTCCTGTTTCTGCACCAAATTGTACCAGTGGTAAAAGGTATATAGTATGACCATCAACGTGGCATAAGTGTTAATATTTTAGATACAGTAATTTTGAGTACCATAGTTGTGCACTGCTGAATTAGAGTTAAATACAAATTAAATATTCTAAAACTGTTTTAGGTCATCTGTTGCATCAACATGTTCATCAGTTTGTAGTAGTTCCTTGGGTAAGACAACTTTTTTCTGGTCTTGGATGCAATTTTAGTATAAATTTTGAGGTGACTATTGATTTTCCTGCATTCTGATTGGTGAAGATTCACTGTCTCTCAAGTGATAGTCACTGGCCAGTGACTATAGCTTTTTGTATTTGTATTTCAACTATTTAAAATAAATATAATTTTTTATGAAATTATGTTGATTATTATTTGTAAACGTACGCCTCAAAATTTATACTAAAACATTTGGCTCAGTGAATATAGGCTTGAAATCACGCACCTAGCCTTCAGCGACTGCAGTAATTGCTTAAAAAATAACCTAGAACCTCTTCTGTAAGACTTAGTACACCTATTTATGTTTAGTTGAATTCAAAATGGCATGGTAGTTGAGAACTGTTCAAAATAACATTGGTAGATATATATTTACACAGTAAAATGTTTCATATAACATGTCCCTCTCATTTTGCATGAACTTGAATTTTTATGACCCATGTATTTTCTCCTGACCAATGTATTTTCTCCTGACCATTGAAGTTTTTACTTGGCAAAGTGGATTATCTGTGGAATAGAAATATTTTCCCTTCCTAACTAAACCTATTATCGTGAGATATTTTCTCATATTCTAACTCATAGAATTATCCAGACCTATGCGAATGCGACGACATGTTCCTTTGTACAAAAAGTCAAACACACCCGTTTCTGTGCGAGCTTTTGTTAATGGTGAACAAGATACGTTTGCAAGAGTCACAGCCCCGAATTTAAAACAGGTAAAGACTTCAATGTACAGCATCATAGGGCTGCGTTTAATAAGACATAGTTCCCGACACTTTTCTGGTGCGTCATTTGGGCACGGTGCCTAAGAATGCACATCAAGATGAAGTATTCGACAAGGGCACAGCGCTCGATCAGCATGGATGACGAACCAGTTTTGACTTTCCCAGGCACCATGAATGCAGTGCCGCCTGTGCCGGGCACCCATTCAACCTCGTACCCAGGGTCTTGCGCCCAGTCTGAGCCCAGTTTAATTACAGTACTGTCCAGAAACAACACTGCGGTTGCGGTTCGGTCGCGGTCGACCGATAGAAACCGCAGACGACCGCAAGGGAAAATAGTTCGCGGTTGCCGTTCGCTTCCGAACGGAATTTTATGAACTGCTGAGAAAGACAACAAAATAATCAAATCGAAAACGTCTTAAGAAATGTCTGTCGGACCGAGGTTCGACTGAGGTTCAACCGCGGTCAGACCGGGGTTTGACCTACATAGGTTAACTGCGGCGTTTGTTAGGTTATTTCTGGACAGTGTTGTAAAGAAGGATACTGGTTGAGCTCTCACTCGCTCATCGCAAAAACTAAATCGCAAGCTCGCTGCAAGAAATTTCGTCCAATCACAATGCTTTACAGCTTGCGCAGCGAGCTTGCGAGTTGATTTTGTGATGAGTGGAAAAGAGCTTGTGCATTCACCGTATAGTCGATGATGCATTTCTATAGTCGCCAAAGTTCTGAAAACATACACGTATAAACTATAAAACATATTTTCTGGCATATCATATCATAATGGCCATCTTGCATGGCTGTGGAAGTATTTCCAAATCAGTTTATATCGATCGTTAGGAAACATTTTAAGATATATTAACAGGTACTCAGTGTATAACCCTCATTGTTTTAAATTGTTTTAAGCTGTTAGAACTTTGCACAACAAAACTTCACTTGGTCTCGGCTGCAAGAAAAGCGTTCCTCTCTGATGGGACGTTAATAAGAGATATTCATCAAATAATGAAAAATGCTGACATATATGTATCATGTGGTGAACCTTTTAAAGATCCTTTTGGTAAATACGTTGGTGAGTAACATTCATATTAATATTCGTCAAATTTTCTTCTATAATTGTTATTTCCGGGATTTTACCTAAGGTTGAAATTTTCATTTAGTTACAGTACTGTCCAGAAATAACATGACTAAAACCGCGGTTAACTTAGGTCAAACCTCGGTGTGATCGCGGTTGAACCGAGGTCATACCGAGGTCCAACCGCGCGGTGAGACGGAGGTTAAACCTCGGCCTAACTTGGTCTGACAAACATTTCTTAAGATTTTTTCGATTTTATTATTGTGTTGTAATTCTCAGCTGTTCATAACATTTTCGTTCGGAAGCGAACGGCCACTGCGAAGATATTTTTTCCCTTGCGGTTGTCTGCGGTTTCTATCAGTCGACCGAACCGCAACCGCAGTGTTAGGTTATTTCTGGACAGTACTGTAGCTACTGTACGTACGTTTCTTCTTCAAACGGTTTGAACTTCTTCTGGCTTTATGTTAGTTATAGTACGTTTTAGGAAAAAGATTAATATTTGTCGATGATTTATCGTATTTTGTCTTTGCATTACAACTACGAGTCATCATTAATGCTGGAATTTTTAAAGTTAGAATTTTTTTATATGTTTCTCATCAAGAATGCTGGGGGGGGGATTGCAAGACAGGAAAATTAACATTAAAAAACCTGGGAAATTAACGTTTAATTGCCATCAGAAGGAGTTTTTCAACAATAATTGCATATATAGTCGCTAGAAATGAGCTTGTCTTAAACTGCTAAAGAGGTGATCATTTTTGGCGTATTTAGAAAAAGAAAAGTTAAGTCAAATGTCCACGTGGACTATGAATGGCATTATCTTCCCCGAAAGTGAAACCCGAGGTAAAACGAAGCCATCTTTGTCTCAAAGAATGAAGAAGGTTTTAGTGGAAAATCAGAAGAAAAGAGTTTTGGTCTTTCGAAATGAGGATTCCTTAGAAGGGAAGGAAATTATAGCGAATAGATTTGATGAGGTACTATAATACATGTATGTATATAACCCTGTCTCCGACTTCAAAATCATCCTTTCCATGCAGTATTGTAGCCAGCCTAACAATTTGTACCGCTATGCTAATATTTTGGTGTTCATTGACTGTGAAAACATTAAATTTCTGAAGACATGAATAATTATAGTAACTTTAAATTTACATAGCGGGACAAAATCTGGCTGCGCCACTGCTACCATGACTCGTGTTTCTTCAGAAATTTACCTTATTATGGATAGCTTGCTCGCAGACTGAATTACATAGGGGGGCAGGGGGGGCGGAAATTAAAGGGAGGATACGTAATTCAGTCTGCGAGCGGTCTAACATTATGGATTAGGTTAGCAAGACGTTAGCAGAGCTGGAATTGGGTTAGAGCAACGATACCAACGATATGCAGTAATAAAATTGGTTTTTAGTTACTAAAGTAATCTATTCAAGAGCTCTCTTTGATGATTTTATATCTAGTTTCTTGATGACTGTACTCAGAAGTTAGGATTCCAATCAAGAGCTAAAGCCATATTTGATTGGGATGGAAAAGAAATTGTAAATTTTTCACAAGGTACACTCGATATAGAAATCCTTTATGTGATTATGTTTATGTAGTTATACGAACTATAGCTCTGTGTGTAAATAAAATATATTTCAAGAGATATTAAATTGTTTCAACCGAGAAATCAACGGAGCTAGGCCCTGGGCACGAAGATGCCGAGAAAGACATTTTCAATACTAGACCCAGTCCTTTACCGTCAGATGACCTGGATGACACTTGCGATGCAGTCGAGACTAAAGGCCGTTTTCCACTTCACTGTTTCGCTCGCCGTCGACGAAAAATTTCGCAGCGAAAATATTCGCGCGCGAAAATTTAATTTTCCACTTTCGCGAAAATATATACAAAAACAAAATGGAGGCAATGAGGAGTCCAATTCTTGTTTCAAAGTTTTAAACATGAAAAATGAGGATTTTTTGCTGTTATTAGCATTGCGACAAAGGTCTCGCAGAAATTTACTGCGCAATAAATATAGGAAACGCTTCTGGGTAAGAAAAACGTTTGCCGAACGCAAATCAAAAGGCGAATTTCATCTTCTGGTCAAGGATCTAATGTTGGCAGACCATGAGTATTTCTTTGTAATGTTCAGAATGACTCCACAAAAATACGAGGAACTGTTAACTATGGTTGCTCCGTACATTACAAAATCTTCCAGAAAAAGAGAAGCTATTGGGCCAAGTGAGAGACTCAGTGTAACATTACGATATTTAGCCACGGGTGATGCCCAGCAAACTATTGGCTTGAGTTACCGAATAAGTCCGACAACAATTGGTAGGATAGTGCTTGAAACGTGCAAAGTTTTATGGGACGTCCTTTGCTCAAAGGGGTATGTGAGAGCTCCAGATTCAATTGATAAATGGAGGACAATTTCTCGAGAGTTTGAGCTGATTTGGAACTTCCCTAACTGTCTCGGAGCTATCGATGGTAAACATATTGTGATGCAAGCCCCTCCAAGATGTGGCTCCGAATATTTTAACTATAAAAAACTCATAGCATTGTTTTGCTTGCTGTTTGTAATGCTAAGTATCAGTTCACCCTTGTGGATATAGGCAATAGTGGCCGAATCAGCGACGGAGGAGTTTTTGAAAACAGCATGATTGGCTTTGGAATAAACCAAGGCTTGCTGAACATGCCTGAAAAAGCAAAACTGCAAGGTAGTGACAAAGTGCTACCATATGTTGTAGTTGGAGACGAGGCATTTCCACTGAAGCATAATCTAATGAAGCCATATCCTGGGGGTAGCATTGGAAGATCTGAAAGAGTATTTAATTACCGGCTCTCTAGGGCAAGAAGGGTCATTGAGAATACCTTTGGTATTGCTGCATCACGCTTTCGTATACTGCGGAGACCTATTTTTGCCAGTACCAAGTTGGTAGTTGCTATTACTGAAGCAATAGTGGGTTTGCATAATTACCTGATGGAAGATGCAAACAAAGGAAAGGAAACACAATATTGCCCTCATGGTTTTGTTGATAGCAATGGTCAGTCTAATGGTGCATGGAGAGAGGTCAATTCTGACAGTAATTTCCTTGATTTACAAAGATGTGCGTCAAATACATATTCCAGAGATGCCAAACGTGTACGAGATACCTTCAGAGAGTATTTTTCAGCTGATGGAGAGGTCCCTTGGCAATGGAATACAGTGGATAGTGTATCCAACATTTGACAGACCGTTAATCACCCTTGAAGAGCTCCACTAGAGATTAAACAGTTATAACTCATTGAGCCCACTGACTTTGTTCTTGATTTGTGTAAATTTACCTTTATTGGGTAGTCAAGAGGTGAAATTTTTAACACTGTAAATTTAATAACTAATAATTAATTAATTTTGAGTGATTTATTTTGGATTTGAATTTGTGCATGAAAATCAAATTTGTAAATAACAAAAAACACTGCATGTAAATAAAATGCAATCAAACTTATTACTGAGAATGTAATTAATTAAATTGAAACAGATTAACAGAATATAATATTTACACAGTTGATCAACAAAATTGTAACAATAACTTATACTGGTATATAATTTAAATTCAAATGTATTTTGATGTACATAATGTAAAAAATAACAAATGTTTATTTAAAAATTAACGACAAATATTATTAACAATGTTTCCAAAATAGGTTTGTACGTGATAAATATACTTGTTAAAACAATATATGAACATATAGTTTTCCTTTAGTCTTTTCCAAACTCTATTTCAAACAATAATTGTTGAATTCTAACTTTTGCCATCTGACTTGTTTTGTTGTCAAAGCGATCAAGTATCGGAATAAGGCTTTTACAAAAAAGCTCATTTTCAGATTTACCAATATTTTGATCATTTTCTGTTACATTTTTTTCTTGAGATGACTTATCAACTCCAGATCTAGTGCAGTACTGATATCTTCTCTTTCTCTTGTATGCAACTTTTTTCTTTTTATTGGTATCCCTGCTGGTACATCTTGACATGAGGTGTTAGGGGATTCTGACCTTGCTGGTGAGGAAACTGAGAGTGGCACTGGAATTGATTTATCACTTGGTACCTCAGCTGTCTTAATGTCCATTGCAGATGACTGACCTTCATCATTTCTAACAAAGGTGAAGTTACTTTCGGTTTCTTTGCTGGTTACAGAATCACTAAGGAATTGTAATTCTTTAAAAAATCTGCATTCAGGTAGACGTTTATAACCAGCACCTGACCGTGTAGCCAGATCTCTCCTTTTGATACACTTCTTGTAAGTATCTCTAATGTTCTTCCATTTGGCACGACAAATACTCACTAAAACAAACATAACTTTGCAATCTCAAAAACATTCTTTCACCAGTGTACAACAACTGGCTAAAATATTGAAGCTAGCCTGATCAAAAGCAGCAGCTTAGTTATTATTAATCACAACAAAGACCAGAGAACATCTTCGAATTCTATCATGTAACAGAAATGCCTGCTTTCTGGGTTTCCCAGGGGCAAAATATTGTAATTATCCTGTGTGGTCATGGTTTTATTTTGCACAAAAAAATTCAGTCCCACATACTTCTCTGCAGATATAGTGATGTATTTCAAATTATGTTTAGACTTTTCAAACTTTATTGTATTAAATACCTCCAAATATTAAAATTATTTCGGTAAACTTACCATCGCAACCTAAATGCAATGCAACTTGATTCCACGCTGTGTTTTTTTTATTTGTTTCTTTGTAACCTCTCAGCTTAGTATTCCAAAGAATTGGTAAGCTCCGAACGAGTTCTATTAATGCTTCAAGATCTACGTTTCCATCTCTATTATCTTCTTCGAAATGTACAACCTCTGCATCTGGATCCATAGCATCTTCTGTAGCATTCAAGTCCTCATATTCTTCCAAAAAACTCGCCATGTTGGAAAAAAATTTTGCTGACGTGTTTTTTTCTTCACGAAAGTTGAAAATTTTCAACGACCGCAGCGGCAGGACAAATTTCTTCGACGGCCAAATAAAATGATCAAACATTACGTCATTGGCGAAATTTTTCGTCGACGGCGAGCGAAACAGTGAAGTGGAAAACGGCCTTAAACGAGTCTTAAAAGATGTCTATTAGTATTCATTATTTTTAGTTCCGACAGTTGATAATATACTCCAGTCGTCATCAATCACCGTACTTGGGCCAGTATGGTTGACCAGAGGCGGAGAAAAGTTTAGTTTTAAAGGCCCGTATGGCTTCGTCGATACATTACTGGAAACAACTAAACAAAGATTAAAAGAAACGAAAAGCTATGAAAAACAGGTATTTAATATTGTAGCATCATGACTTGTTAAATCTTACGACAGGTTGGTGGCTATAAAGCCAACTGAACGTACAGTGTAGCAAACGCACGGTAGACACGAACACACAGTGTCGCTGTCGTCAGTCGACCTGAAAACATCAGAGTACTCAACCACGTTTCAAGTGTTTTTTCACCCTGGAAAAGGACCTGGTACTGTAGGATTCGTGGTATTACGATTTGCTAATATTTTAATTACCAGATCACGTGACGTAATTTCCCCGACAAAAAAACACGGGGAGTACCAGGTTTCAGGTCAACAAGCTTACGAAAAACTAGTATTTGGTAATTACTTTCACATTATATAGCTGCAATTACGAGTTGATAACATCATTGAAGGTGTCTCCGTTGAGGTGATGTCATTGACTGAAGAAGAAACAAAAAACGAAATGAGTCAGGTAAATTCTTGAAAATTATTTCGATCATTAATCACATTATGCAGACCATATGATTCCGTTTATTTTTTTTGGTATAAATATTTTTTGGGTCATTAAGTGATGTGGAGGTTTATCTGAAGGTCTGTTCACACGATCCAATTTTGTCGGATCCAATTCACTTCTGATGGATGTTTTATCGTCTGTTGACTTGCAATGTATGTGGGCAGCAAATCAACCTAAACCAACATAGTACTGCTTTATTAATAACCTGACTTCATTCCAAACGTCAGAAGTGAATTGAATCCAACAAAATTGGATCATGTGAACAGACCTTTACAGCAGGACTTGGCAATGATGCTTAATGTAATTGCATACTGCATACGTAATATAAAAGTTGTTCTGTAACTTTTCTGTTTAGATCACCAAGAAAGTCCATGATCTTGAAACTGTAATACCAAAGTTGAAATCAAGAAAAAAACGATTATTCATGAAAAAGGAGGAAGAGGGGATGGTGGGGGCAAATCATAGCTCATATAAATTTCAAAATATAACTGAAATTGAGGAGAACAGCAGGCTGCTTGGAAAGAAAGGAATTCGTTTGAAGGTACACTTTGCCTCTTAGCTTCTGACAGATCCAGCGGAAAAGTGAAAGTAAACATGATTTTAAAATTCCGAAAATGGAAATTTGACTAGCCTCGCTTTCGTGTACCTCGCCACAGGCCTCTTGCTCTTTTTCGAATAGGTCTATACATCTTCAATATTTTCTCTAGGTTTATGAAAATGGCAAGGTCGACGATGAAGTGGTAGTGTATTTTAACATACACGAGGCATCAAAGGGTGCATCTGACGACCGTAATGTGCTACTGAGGAGACTCATTGACACCATTACTGCTCAAGTGTTGCGAAAAAGTCATGGACCTGCTGGACGTTCGCTTGCCAGGAGGATATATAAGGATGACGGAAAAGAAGTCCTCGATGTACATGAATTGGAAACAGATGATTGTATTTGGCTGTCGTTTGGAGAGAAATTTATATCACCATATAGTACGTGTGATTGTACCATAGTATGTAATACTGCATGCAACTAAACGTTATGCGCCTGCGCTAATATGCGGTAAAGGTTGGGGAGTATGGATGATTGAACAAATGGGGACTTTCACATTTTTCCTTGTATCAAGACAAGGAGGTTATGCTTAGATTCTCGTGATTACTTTATTACCGCGTTTCTAGAATGTCTAGCACGAGCGTACTCTCGTGTTACGTAGCTATGTATCGTATCGTGAAATATAGCAAAAACAATAATTCTCCTACAATATTTCTCGTCATTAAACTGCATTTTTTGTCATAGCGTACGCCCTTCAACTGACAATGGATAAAACAAAATGCGTTTCTCTTTGGAATGAAAAGAAAGTTGTACAGCGAGAGACAATCAACGAGGACGAAGTTTACGGAAAAGACCGCGCTAGTTTATGGAGGACTGTGGAGAACTATCCAACGGATTGTAAATATGATGTGATTGAGTTAGATATGGAAATACCTGGAAAAGTTGGCTACGCTAAAGGATTGCAATACTCTCAGGTATTGTGAATTTTGAAACACACTATAATTATGGTAAATGCGGACAGTGGCGTAGCCAGCCCGACAATTTAGTCATGCTAATGATAATAACTGGCTGGCTACGTCACTGAATGCAGATATAATGCAGATATTAAATTTAATCACATAATTTCTTTCATTCCTTCTTTCACGTTTACGCCTTGATCATTTGCTTACATTTAAACATTTGTGCATGACTCTCTCGTGGTACTGTACTTGGGCTAAACGTTGTTAATCAATATGTATCTGATTTCTAAGAAAAAAATATTGTATTATTATTCCTAATGAAGGTACAGTACTGTAGGTGATTGGTCAGATTGGATTAGTTTTTGTAACCTGGTTGTAACTTTCCTATTCTTGTTTCAGATACGCGAAAACAACACGTTTCTTCGGTATAAAGGTAACACAGATCTTATACTGTTGCCTGATCTTTCTGTGGAGAAAAAATTGTCCAAGGTTGATAATAGCATGTGGCCGTCTGACAGCCAGCAATGGGTAATACATAAGGTACGTTTTAAAACGTTTTAATGATAAGATTTATACATGCATGGCGTTGATCACGTTGGTTTTCTGTAAAATATACCAAAATTAATACTAAAATTAATACTAAAATTAAAATTCCTATATTTATTTATTATTTTTTCTTTAGAGCGGCCATATTACAAGTCGATCTTTCCCTCAGTTGTGTCTTTGTATGAGTCACATAAAAGTGAATGTGAAATACAGTGACGGAACGTCACTCGAGGGATTTGCTGTGAATTTTGCCAAAAGGTATGAAATTGAATTTCTCATATACCCATTACTCCAAAATGTATACGTAAGCAAAATACAGGGAATATAAATTGTTATTTTTTAGAAATTCCTCACATCCAAGTCAGATTTGGAAGTTCACTCCAACAGGCGACATTTGCAGTGCGAGTAATCCCTCATTTCTCTTGACGTGGATGTCGAATGAAAATCATCAAATAGTCGATGAAGACGACAAGCACCCGGGGCTGTCTGGTAAGAAAAATTAATTGATAAAGATTAAAAGTATAGTCAGTACTGAAATAAAAGTCCAATATGACTCTCAGTCATGCATACCTACATTCTGTATATTAATTGATAAGATAAGAGCCTTGATCGTGTAAAAGCTTTGTTCAGATTCATACTCTTCCGACGAAGGCCTATACAGTGTAGGCTCAGGTCAAAACGTCGAGAAGTGTTCTGTTCAATTTTAAGTAGTTGTTATACCACATTTGATGCCAATTTACCCGTCTGCATGTCGGTCGTTATATGTCCTTGAGTTTATATGCGTAAATAATAAGTTTGTAATCACTCTTCACGACCCGTAAAATGGGAAATAAATTGTTTCTTAAAAAATAGGCGAGGTGGAGAAAAGTTGCGCTGAAGAGAACAATGAAACAATTGTGGTTGAAACTTTATCCACCATGAAGGATATTTTTGGCGGTGAAAAGTGTTGTGTTGCATTATTATCTAAACTTCCTGTGAAACATCCAGCAATTGGCACACAAAGGTTAGTGATCACAGATCTCAAAATTAACACTGGAGCATCCACATTCTACGAGTCGATTACTAAATGCGAATGTTTAATTCTTTCGTTATCTTCAGATGGGCGATTAAACAAGAAAGTTTAAATAGCATCGGCCAATGGAAATTTTCTCAGGTTGCCAACCCAACCTGGAACCGTAAGGCTTTATCATGGCCTGTTAACAAAGATGGAACTATAAATGAGGTAATTTGTGGAGTGCATCATTGATAGACAGTCGCCGGTTGTACGAAGGCTTGATAGCGCTATCCACCGGATTTAGTAGATATTCAATCACACTAAAATCACCCGTATTTTCAGTACAACTTGAATTGAAAGCGTCCTTCTTTACTTTTTAAAAACGATTGTTAAAACAACTCATTTAATGGTCGTCTTATCTCTTTTTTATCAATTTAAATGTGTATGAGTGTTATACATGGAAAAAGACAATTTGGTGGGGAACTTGCTGTTGATGTCAGCTGATATAGGACACCCGTTTTAAAAAGTGTGTGCATAGAGAGAATTTGTTTTCGCAGGAATTCAACTGGCCAATGGAAGGCTTCCTGATATGCAATGCACCTCCACTTAAACGGAAGGAGACGTTAAGCGTTGGTGAGTCTCGTAAACACCTTGAATTACAGTACGATACGTTGCCAGATTTTGTAATAATTATGGTATAATTCCTGTGTATACATGGGAATTTAACGTGATAGAACTTTAATGTCCTAATAATCTGTGTACTTGTCATGAAGAAGATGTTTTTCATGTTGTATTTCATAAGAAATATCCACAATTTTGCATTCCGGACTGTAATGCCAGAAACGCAATATCACTAAAGTTTTCTGCGAATTCGGATTCAGTTTCTAGAAATGATAAGAAATACGATGAAAACATGCAAAATACAAACATAGTGGACTTTAATCCGAAGTCAAATATAGAATATGTTACTCTTTGAGGCCACTGGACCGCCTTATTTTGCTGGATTAGGGCAATGTTGATTGCATAACAACATAATCCTTCCTATTTTAAAACTTGACAGGTGGTCTAGGTTCATATTTTATTAATGAACATTCGTATCAATAAACGCAAACTCTTAGGCATATACACAGCTATAGCTATAGATGTAGGTTGGATTTTCTACATGTTATCTTCGTAAAGACGACGTTATATACTGGAAATTTTTACCTGATCAAGGCAGTCCTTTAGGATATATATTATGTAACAAGGTCAATGCTTTCTATCATATAATGACAAGCTCAGAATCAACTAAATATCATCGAAGTGGGTAGAATTTACTATTGGTATACTTCAAATTTATGATATTGTTGTAAAAAATCGAAAATGTAGCTTATGAATGCTAGTTTTCATACATCTTGTAGAAGGAAATTATTCTGATTCGGACCGGTATACAATACACAAATGCTTATTTTACCTCATTATTATGAATAACAAAAACTTCTATTACATTACCGGGTTTGCAGACTGTTGTTACTCTGTTATCCTAACGAATACTAATTGTATTCACTCGAGCTCTCGTGATTCTTTAATTCATTCGTTCACTCAGTGTTTCTCGCGTGCTGACGTATGTTAAAGCTCATTCACCAGCTCAGTCATATAAACCCTCAACTATTAATAACCGTATACAATCCTTGACGGGAGTTCATTCAGTTTAAAGCTTGATATTTCAAATATTTTAACTAAAATATTGTTATTAAATGAGGGACTCTCTCGGGAACGTGAATGCATGACACCGTGTAAGTGAACCTGAGAACCTGGTTTTGTTGTTTTTTATCCAGGACCACCTGTAAGGCTTCGTGTGTTGAAGAATGGTGAACATGATCTTAAACGAGCTGTTATTGTTGTCGGACCAGACCTTGGAAATGTAAGTGTATTACCCTCGGTTGTCCCGAGCTCAGTAAATACAGAAAACTGCCTGCTAACAAGCGATTATTTTTTTAGATGACTAGAGATATAAGTGGAAAGTCCACAGCAATGAAGCCGTCGAAAACGAAGTAATCATGCATAACCGTTTTTCAACTAAAACGTTTTCGTCTAGTTTTGCTTTTCGTGTTTACGGATGTTTTTATTCTTACAGGAAACACTCTCCTCTTCCATCGTCACGGAACGATATCCGGAATCTGGAATTAAATTTGGTAATTTTTAATTTGCTCACGTCTGAGATTTGTTTCGTAGATATCGATAGTTCAGGCGTTTGTTCTATACTTAGCTACAGCTATAGGAGTAGCTAATCTATGCAAAGGCCTATTTGACACAACCAGATACTACTTCAAATAAAACTATGATTCCAATATACCGTGGATTTGTCTATAATTTTAAAGACCCCACGAATTTTTTATAGTTCCTTGATCGCTGCACGGATTCCCTTCGTCTTCCATTTGCTGCCAGGCGTCTGTTTAATGACGATGGAAAAGAACTCTTCACCCTCAGTGGTCTGGAACGAAATCAACTAGTGTTTGTTTCGTGTGGAGAGTCTTGGGTGAATTACAATGATTCTTATTCCGATCAAAAAAGAAGAATAATTATGAGCAACCTTTCTTCAGATATTGCCAAATTAAGATTGTATTGTAGACTACGCAATCCTCAAGGTATTGTTTAGTTGATTCTATACCAATAGAAATACATGTCGTTTTGTTTTGTGAATTGGCCCTTAGCTGAATATGTCGGTGTGTGCTCTCATGCAAAGACTTTCAAAAACAGCACTGTTCATGTGAAGCTTGATACAGTCGCTCATCGGGTTTTTTGGTGAGAGAACTGTACGTTTCTCTTGTCTTGTAGGTTTGGTATTAACTGTTGGTGGAACAGCTACAGCTGGAAGTCCTGTCTGTGTGGCCAGTTGTGATCTTATAGAAAATGAAAACGATATTATTCTTTCCGATCAAGAAATCCATCATTCACAAAGCGAAAACAGGTAAACACCGTATATAGCACGTTTCTGCAGGACACACACATACATACCTCGTGATAACTAAACATTATTGGTTAACGTTTATTTTATTTATTGGTTAACATTATTGGTTAACGTTTATTTTATTTTTTTTTCAGTATTGAAGGAGTACGATCAAGTCTGATGAGTGCGCATGAGCGCGCACATGTAAATTCAGAGGAAAGACTCAAGTCTCTTCAATGGCCTTGGGAAACTGCTATTACCAGTAATGGTGAAGTGAATGTCGAAGCAGAACAATATGGTGATTTTGAACACGATGTTGTGTACTCTGACAATCGATTACATAAAAGATACAGGTAAATCAATGGAGTGAAGTGAACCTTGGGTGTATGGAATTTAGTGATTCACTGTCTTATCTCTGTTGGCATAGATACCATACAGCAAAGTCAGAGTCCAAAAAGGAATTATTGTCTTGTCAGTGGCTTTATAAGGATGGGTGGATTCAGCTACGGAATAACAATCAGTTAGTTCTTGGCATAGGTCAAGATTCTACTGAGGTACAGCACAGTATAGTTCACCTATAAATATTCTTTTTGCCTTATTTTGTTGCACAAATTCTAAATATTGGTGTAAATAACACTTTAGGGAAAACTGATAAATGAGGTATGTTTATGTAAGAAAAGGATGGATGATGTAAACCAACGATGGACAATTGCTTCAGATGGGTAAGCTGTCTCACATTTGAACCTTGAATGATATCACTGCGGGTGTAACGAAGCCTTCGGATCGATCTTGTTTCAAATATTTTAAAGTTGATAGAGATTTTAAATTCCTCAGCATCACCAGCTCTTAAATATATTAATTATAAGTGCACTTGTTTCCGCAGCACCATTCATCTTCACCATAATCCTAATGCGACGTTAACTGTGTCTGATCCTGGTCGTGCAAGAGAAAATTCAGGGGACTCTGCTTATGACGGATCCCATGTATTAATCATGCCAAGGAGATGTTGCAATGGAAATGCAAATCAACTTTGGATGTACGATACGCATTCGGGATTCATATCTGCCTTTGCAACTGATTCCATGAATTTAGGTAAGAAGTAAATACTTTAGGCTATAGAACTAACGTTAGGGGAACCTTGACTGTTTAGAAAGTACCATGCACTATCTAGTTTTTCGATCTGAGGAGTGCTTTAACCGTGTGTCCTTCCCTCGTGTATTTTTACATAAATAATGCAAACATTTATTTATAACGTGTGATCTCCTAATATTTCATAAATTTACAATTACTTTAGAAATCACGTCTGCGAACAAGGCTGGTATTTGTACATACACAGTTTTAGGGTCCAAAAGCACGATGCAAAGTGTAAGTAAAACTATATTAATTCCGATTAACATTTGCTAAGTTTTGACGGACCCTGCATGGGCTGTGAGTGCCTGTGATATAGAGTCACCCGCACATTATTTCTTTCTCCATGGTTATTTGATGTAATAAATAATTTGCAGGGGTATTCAATACAAAATGATTCTTCAAAGGGATTTCTTTGTGATGCATGTGGTGTTGCATCTCGTGGAAAATTCATATTGCAAAAATTGGAGCAAAGCCAAGATTTTTCATGTGTTATGGGGAAAGAAGGTAGCTTTAAGTGTATGTAATGTATTGGAAAGAAACTTACTCATCATAACATGTATTTGTCATTAATCAACCCAAACTCAGAACTTTCACCTCACGTCTTGCTTCATCAAAAACTAGTCTAGATGAAGTGAGAATGATGCTGCTCTATAAATTTGTTGACATTGACCTGAGTGGATGATTCGGCTCTCTGGCTTGTGACCTTATCCCCCGGCGAGTGACCCTGTCCTTAGTGAGTGACCCCGCCCTCAGGAAGTGACCTTCCAACAAGGACTTACCCCGCCTTAAAAAGTGCCCCAGCCCCTAGGGAGTGGTGGCCTTTACCTCAGGGGCTGCCCTGCTCATTTTGGCCATTTGATAGTTTTTCTGTTCCAAGGAATTCTCAGGGGGTGCTCCTGCCCTGGGGACTGATTTTCTCTTGTTATTTTGTACGCAATTTTACCTCTAATTGTAAATCAAACAAATGAATGTCATACAGTTATTGATTAATTACGATCTCTTATCACAGCGACAAAGCAAGACAAATCCAGCTGTTTCAAGTGCTTGACTAATCAGGTTGATCTAACAAGCCAGGAAGCAAATGCTACATTAGCGATGTGGGAAGATCAGCTGAAGAGACTTCGGAAGATAAAAAATTTTCGTTCATTAAATAAAGAGATACAGGCTGCGCAATCCCAACCAGCTGTTAGAATACGTGCTTTCAAAAATGGCGAGGGCATTCGTAAAGAAGCTGTGCTGGTCGTTGGTTCTACGATTGATTCGGTAACGTAGTTCCGACGTTGATGTATTTTTGTGTAAAGAACGTTTTCTAGGCACGGTGGATATACTCCTAAAAACACGCGTGTATGCTTGCTTATTTAAGACATACATGGTTCAAGTCAAGCGTCACGGATGGTGAATGAATTAATTTCTACTTACTGGGCCGATTGGGTTGACCCAAGTTTTTAACTTTGCTATGCAGCGACTGTCTATCGTGTATGAGTATTCTAATTATATAATTTGTTACATTTCATTTGTAGTTACTGGATCAGTGCACATGTCGACTTGGTCAAACATCTGCCGCCAGAAGACTTTATAACATTGATGGAGAACTTATAACAGACATAAGTCAGTTAAGAGAAGATTCTGGAACTAAAGAAAACATACTGCCTAGAGAAGTTGAAAAATATGCCCAGGTTTGTCTGATATTCTAAAAAACTTATTTTACTGGTTATTTTAAAAAGGGGAATTCATGTTCCTAGTAATTAAGCTGTATATAGACTTTAGCCTTCTTTATATTAGTGAATATTTTGTTTGTCGGTTTATTTATTCATGAACATATGTTTGAGAAATTTTTAAGAAGTGTTAAACATTCCTTCTTAGTTCTGGATAGTAACTTCCAGACCAATCACCTATACTGAGATATCTGCCTAATCACGGCAATCTACTCGGCAAAAAACAACTTTCCTCAACTGAATGAGCCTTTTTACCGAGTTGTGCATCTTTCATTATAGCGTGAACAAATGGATAAACAAACAGAAGATCCAGTTGATGTAGTTTGCACTGCCAATGATTGTAGCGTCATCGAAGGTCTGGATCTTGCAATGTTATCAGTGGTGTTTGTCTGAAGTAGTGTTATAGACCTTTGCAAATCTAGCAGACATTTCTAATTTTCCAGAGCATCAAATGCCAAAAAAGACACAGGAAGACGGCGGTGGTAAATATTGCGTTGACGTATTTGTGTCCTGTGGTGAACCGTTTGTTCCTTTAGAAGGTAGGCGTATCTTAGTCGACTAATCAATTGCTGATGAGATTTCTCTCTTGTGTGTGTGTGAATCGCAACTCATGTATATTCCTAATTTTATATGTAGTTTGTACCTGACTTGTATTTCTAAAAGACTCAATGCTACTAATCGACATTTCAGAGATAGATATGCAGTTCTTTCTTCAAATGAAACACCAATATGCCAGAAATTGGGTGGAGAATCACCTAGAGACGGAAAAACATATTCTACGACAAATTCAAGGTATTTTTCAGATGGTATCGTTTTCATAACGATGTAAATACGAGTAAACATTCTCCTATATAACATTATACCATTATAGCTACCAAGGACTTGATTGAAACCAATCTATTAAATATTTATACGATGAAGGCTCTGAAATCTGAAGCACGCTGTTTCCTATTTTTTTTTACTCGTTCATGCATACGAAACTGATTGTACGTAACATTTCATAAACCTTCATGATATTTAAGGTCGTCGTATAGCAGCTCGCTCGTCAATTGAGTCTCGTTCCTGGCACAACCTGACCAAACAAGAGGAAGATAAACAAGACAATATTGAAGAATTGACGGTAATGAAATTCCGGGCCTATATTTTCATGAGCCCGGCTGCTCGAGATTCAACAAAGCTTGAGATGATTTTGACGTATTGAAATAAGTCTTTATAAAACAAAAGAAACGCATTTACGCATGTATTGTCGGGATAACTACACTGCCAGGACCATGCTATATGCTGATTTCATCGCGTCAAAGTCAACTAATATTTTTCTACGAGTATTCACTTGAAATACAGTAAGGGGAAAATTATAAAACCGGATAAAAAACAGCTAGTCGCAAGGATGGGTAAATCCAAAATAACGGATTTATTGTGTAGCTACTAAAAATAACGTGATGACGCTGGTTGTGTATGTCATAATTTATATAGGGACATTTGAAAGATCTTAAAACAAAGCAACAACAAGAAAAAGAATTACTAATCAGCAACAATGCTATGCACTGCAGGCTGTCAAACAATAAGAGATTATATGATTCTTCAAAAACAGTAAGCGCAACTAAATTGTAGTTTTGAAAAGCATTCAATTAAGTGATTCGCCTTTTCTGCATATTGTGACTGCAGGTTTCAATGAAGGCGACAGTGTCACTCCTGACTGTAGTCACTCTTATAACCGTATGAAACTCCCTCAAAGGGAGGGGTGTTTATAAAAGAGGTGTTATAAGAGGTTATGTTGATTTCAGACTGGTGGTAGGGATTTGCTCATGATAATTTTATTTACATCATTAATTTTGAAAGGTTCGTATTGATGTGTACGAAAATGGTGATGCTGAAAGAAGATATATAAATGTCTGTGGTTCCACTTTGAATGAGGTATAAATTTTGGTTGCTTTTAAGGAATCATTTTAATGTATGGCTATAATTCCATATAGTTCATTCCAGCTTTAAGTTCAGATCTCCCTGTTCTTTTGAAATCTACATTTATCTTAACTCAGTTCTGTTTTATTATCAGGTACTAAACATATGCACATCTCGTCTTGGTCTCCCAGCTGCTGCGAGGAGATTGTTCACTACTGGAGGCGATGAGGTAATTACGCAATAACATTATAACGAGCGTGAGGTCTGTACTATCCATGCAAAACCTTAGTCTGATATTTCACAGTACAAATCGAACAAGCGAGGCCAATAATTTGTTTATTATATGGCTGAACTGCATGAAACATTCGGGATACTGGTCCAGCCGCGAGATACGGAATATACGGACCACAGTCCGGATATGGATTTTTACGGACTACTCGTCAACCAATCAGAATACAGGATTTTGAAAAGCCATATGATAAAGTCAGTTATATGGAAAATCCATCTGAAAGTAAAAGGTTCATGTCTTTATAATGGCTTGTGAGAAATCATGGCATTTACAACTATTTTTACGTGTTATTTGTCTTTCGTGTATATTAGTAACGGCATTGCAATAATTTCGTTTTCTGTTTTAAGATTGAAGACGCGTCAGAGTTAGTGAAAGGAGAAATTTACTGTGTGTCCTGCGGGGAGAACTTCATTCAACCAAGAGGTAAGTGCATGAAACAATAATTTTATATATATACACAATATCAGAGTATCGGATTTTTTGAGGAACTTTTTTCCTCCGTGACCCGTCCACTACTCAGTTACTTATTTCTCATCCATAGATTGACACAAAACATCTTTCTGGTAAACTACATTTTTAAAAATAATTTTCAAGTGGGTATAGTTATGGTATGACATCATATACATTTTAGATCGTCAGACTGTTATTGCCCGAAAAGCTACTTGGTCAAGGCTAAACCGTCAGACAGGCGGAGCAATGGCGTTCAAAAGTGACGAGGTAATGCCTTTTTACTTATTATCGAGATAATCTCATATGAATCATTTTAAAAAAGATAAGATGTCAAGATAAATCTATGTTTTAAAATGTATAAGCCGATCTCAAATGCTTGTTTGAATATATGTTTCGACTCTATGAGAGTGGCCTTGTTGTGATACCAAGCACAAACACCTCGTTCCCAGGCTCTTTGAAGTACTTCGCGGAGAAAGCACTAAGCGCCGGGGGTATTCTTGGGGAGGTTGCGACTTCGAGGCTGAAGCACAAAGCTAACACAGTGAAGTGTGTGAAGTGAGTGAACAACTGACTCTCAGCGATAATTGTATCGCGATATCGAGTCTATAACGTAACATGAAACCCAAGAATTGAGAACGCTCAACGACAACCTAATATATGTACTGTTGTTGTCCATCCTTCATCTGTACTTATTATTGATAAGTTATATTCCGGTTTTGATACATTTTAATTTTCGACTCTTCTGATCCCCAACTAGCTATTCACATGAATCTTTTTTTCACATGTACAATTATATTTTTACGCTGAATCTTTGTTTATTTGTTGCAATTCATTTTTACTTTCAGAGAACTCCAGTAACGACGCTGGCTTTACAAACCAGCGCGCAAGATCGGTTTAACTAAATACATGCAGTCTGTTCATTATAATTTATCTTAGATATTTTCAACGGAATTTATTTATTGTATCTCCAACCTTTCGTGTTAATATTTGGATGAGGCACACTTGTAAATACTTCATTAAGGCATGTAAATATGTTATACATTGTCAAGATATAGATATACAATTTTATGAATTTCTATCTAAAAATGTAAACTTGCATTTTTTGGCCAAAAATACCTTTCGACAAAGGTATTTCTGACCACATAATTTGCTGACTACAAAAAACTTAAGCCTTTAAAAACGAATCAGGCAGCTTTATTCTAAATTTGAATTCATGACGCAAGGGAAGATCAAATATTTCAACAAATATCTCCTATATTTTGGCTCATTTTATTGACTTGTTGACCTCACCCAAACATTACTTGTTGTATGCTGGTTAATTAATCTAATTAGGATGTTTGTTTTCTAAATTTTGCAACATCTCGCTGAAACACCAAGCCTGCAATGATGAAAAGCTCGCTTGAAGTGTGATTGAGAAATCAGGTTCTCTAGACTGTTCTTTAGTAGAGTAAAATACATGCATCAGTGAAATCAACTCTCAGTCGAGTAAAGAATACTAAAGATACCCTGCATCATGGAATAGTAATACGGCTGATTTTGATAATGATAATGAGTGTGAGTGACTGGCTGAATAACCTAATGGCGTGTGTTTTTTAAGTACTCAACTTGATCTTGGTTCTCTCACGTAGTATTTAGCTTCTTGCTTCGAAGCTTCTTGTTTCCCAAAGGGGAAGACATTGGGTGATTTAATCATTTCATCCGTCCAAAACGTCCTGTTGTTAAGTCTCTAAAAATTTGGCCGCTCATCAATAACTTTTACAATCCTATTCAATAAGACATTATCAGGTTACAAAGACTATGTACTATATATTAAGGTGTTTTCAACAACCCTTCTCATAGGCCACGTTAGTCAAGTGTTGTGTAAAACCAAACTACAACAAAAAATTATTTAACAAAAATGCTATTCAAAGTATCGTTGGTTTTGTGCCTTGTTCATGTCGTGCTTGGCCGGGTATCACAGTCAGGTGAGAAGTATTCAATTCATACTCTAGATAAGCTGTGTACTTGCCTCATGACAGACAGATTTGTAAAAATCTCATTTGAGTGCGCGTTTAGCTGCAGTTAGTGACAGAATTGGGCAATTCGTGTATTGTGGAGGTAACTACGATGTAACTACTCAAAATATACTTATACAATCCGTCCCTGATCTCATTCTTCACTCGAAGATCAGCTATCGAATAGACTTTACGTTACAGGATACTGGAAAAAAATCGCCTCTGATCAATGTGTTGGGGCCAGGAACAACAACTATAGAGAGTTTGGGTACTATGGGTCAAACACTTTCATTACTGCAATGAAATTAGTGCACAAGAAAGGCAGAGTTGGGTGCTCTCGCAGACGTTATGCCCGCTGGGGTTGCGATAGAAGAAATCCCACAAGTATTATCGTCACAGGTAACAACTTCATACTCCTTAGGCATCTGATATATTGATGTTCGTAAAGGTCAGATGTTCTTAATACAGTGGCGAATCCAGGGTAAGGCGAAATATATCACCACAGCTATAAGTTGCAACACAAGTAAAATTAAACTAATGTCAGTATTATGTTAAACTGATAACTGTCACGGAAGAAGCTGTGGGGAAGCTGTTCCTTTTCCTGCTGCAAAGTACTGTATACTCACATACTGTCAATAAAGAACACGATGAAAGTAAATTCTTTGATGAAATTGAATGTCGATCTTTAGATACAAGAAATAGACGCATGTACCCCCATCCGTCTTTGGTTCGCCTGCAAAAAGCTGGAAAATATGATCTCCCTGGCTACGGATTGTATTCTCGACAGCTCGTCTTCTCTGATCCAGGATTTCACTATTTGTATTACGGCCAAAGAATGAGGATTTGGTACGGAGAAGACTTGTTCAACTACACAGAAAAGGACAACCACGGTTTTACATGCATGGATGTTTATGTTTTTATTCCAACGTGGTCTTGACTGCTTCTTGTGTCTCTGAACTAAAATTATGTATTAGATTGTTTTTATGTCACATAGCCTTCATAATCGCAAAAAATTGTATAACATTTTTCGTGATCTCTTTTGTGAGTATTTCAACATAAAAATCATAATCAATGTAATTTGCTTGATATAAAAAATAAAGATAAAACGCAAATACAGTTCTATTTTGATTGCTTATAAATACATTTACATATATCTTCCACATTCGTCATTCGGAAGTCCGATTTTCTTGGGAGTCACTAGCCTCAGGTGGGGACGACCATATGATGTGCCAGACCACTGACCCACAGTTGTGACGGCTCTATATATTTGAGAAATGAAGTACTTCACGTAGGTCACAAGACGTCAAGACCAGGCAAAACAATGCCAATTCACAAAATCATTACAAAATCATTTATTTCTTTGTAAAATATAGAAGTCATGAATAACGACAAGATATCAAATGAAAATTTAATCAACACGGCTGGTGCAAATTCTTGGCGGCAAGTGAAAGGCTTTGGAAAACGACATATTTTGGTTCTTCTTGGATTACTGGGTTTTGCTAATGTATACGCATTGCGGGTTAATCTTAGCGTCGCTTTAGTTGTGATGGTAAATTCGACGTACTCAAATGGGAATGAAGAAACAAAAAGTCACGAATGTAGTAGTGCGGAAAGTTCGTCTTCACGCACGGTATATGTCCATAATTATTGTATTGTTAGTTACCCCTCACCTCACCCCCAGGGCCTGAGGGCCGTAGCTAGCAGCTTAATATTGGGGGGTGTATATTCGTAGATTCATCTCATGCCCGTGATTTCTTTTGTACGCTATTTATTACTGCTGTAGATCAACATGAATATATGAATATAGTTTATACCCCCCAAAATTAATTCAGTGGCGTAGAATATTTTCTTACCAATCTAGATTCCCTACCATTACCATAGGTAGGTATTCTGGGGTGTAGGGGGATAAAAATATTGCACCACCAATGAAAAGATCCCATTTCAAAGAGCTTGAAATTACATATATATAAAGTTTTTCAAAATGCATGAAATAGTGAATAAGGCATTAAATCTTTAGAATAAAGATGGAACATTTAAGTGGGATCAAGATACTCAAGGTACCTGGTACCATAAATGTATTATATAATATGGTAATGTGAAGCTACAATTGATATAATAAACATTTTCTATAAACCTTTCCCCTTTTAGCTTTCAAGCGCACAATGTGTGACAGTAGTTGATTATCAAGGTCAGTTCAGGTTGTGATTTTGCTATGTTCAGAAGCGATTTAGTTTAACAAAGAAGCAAAAAGAATTGTCAAGGTTTTCTTATGAACAAAATCGCTTCTAACCAGAGCGATATTGCAGCTCAAAGTTGCTTGATAATCAACTACCGTCATCCATTGCACGCTTGAAAGCTAGAAGGCGAAAGGTCTATTGCGGCCAAAATCATCTCATTTAATTAATTCACACATATATGTACATGTGTTTGACAGGAATAATTTTAGGATCATTTTTCTATGGCTACATTTTCACTCAGTTACCTGGAGGTTGGATAGCCACAAAGTATGGTGCTAAACGAGTGTTTTGTTTTGGTGTATTGTGGACAAGTGTCTTGACACTTTTGACACCTGTAGCTGCAAGATTTAGCCTCTATGCCTTGATAGCACTTAGAATTCTTGAAGGACTGGGTGAAGTAAGTAAAAATAACATGTCAATTTTTTTAAAAATTTTATTGGTGGATGTGGCATTCCACAGTGACAATACCATTGCTGACATACTTATATTGTATGACAATGCAAGATGTGACCTTATACTGTCACAAAATCTAGCAATGTTTTTATGCCATCACCAAGGGGGTAACATTCCCAGCAATGCATTCAATGTGGAGTTACTGGGCACCCCCATTGGAAAGAAGCAAACTGGTTCCTACCACCTACGCTGGTATGCTCTCATTTCATCTTTCTATGTTTTTTATGTCACTGTCTATGTCATGCCTTACAGAGTTCTGAATGTTTCAAAAAATGCATCTTTTTGTTTCTATGCAGGGAGTCAGATTGGAACAATTATAGCATTTCCCTTATCTGGATGGCTTTGTGCGAATGGTTTTGATGGTGGCTGGCCATCAGTATTCTATATATTTGGTAATTACAGAAACTTCCTAAAAACCAGCATGATTGTATCTTGATGCTTGGTTTTTAAAGCTGTATCCTCTGACTATGTGATTTGAAACCAACCAATAACAGAAGCACCAAATATGCTTGTTCTTCATATTTGTATTGTAGGAACATTTGGCTCTGTGTGGTTTCTCATTTGGATGTATTTTGCTCATGATACGCCAAGAGTTCATCCAACAATATCACCGGAAGAACTGGAGTATATCGAAACAACTGTTGGAGAAGAGCAAGACCATGTAACACCAAAAGATCAGGTATGAAGTTGGTAGTGATGTAAATCGATTGTATTTAAGCGAGATTTTCCTAAGACATAATGGCACCAAAAAAATCTTGCAGACATAATGTATTGAAAATGTGTTATCCTAAATGGCACTTTAACATGCCAAATGTGTTGCTGGATTGATCCTGTACTCATCTGCAGTTACCTGGATCGTTTTCATTGCCTAATTTATCTGGTTTTGCAGGGTTACAAAACGCCTTGGAAATCAATCATGACTTCTCTTCCAGTTTGGGCGATCATTGTTGCACATTTTACGAACAACTGGGGTTTCTACACCCTTCTTACAACCATGCCAACTTACTTTAAAGAAGTTCTTGGTGTCAATATTCGGGAGGTCAGAGTGTAATTTTACTTGTGCTAATCTAGTACAGTGTATTGCATTTCGCGGCTTATCTCTCTTGCTGAAACCCACCCCCGAAACGTAGGATTTAATTAAGGCTGTTTTCCACTGTCGCGTTTTTCATACGCACGTACACGCACATAAAAGTCTAAAAAAACTAAGTAAAAAATTCGAAAGAACTTAGTTTTCCGCGTAGTTTCGTATGGCATTTGTTGACAAAAATTTAAAAGCATTTAAAAAAAAACGCGATAATTGAAAGCAGCCCTGAAGCCGGTTTTCCACCAGCGATAATTTTCGCGCGAAGCGACATTTTACTTTTGTTCAAGCTCTCAACTGCAACCATCTGGAACAAATTGCTCAAATACAAAGGAATAAAGTCGCTTCGCGCGAAGAATATCGCTTGTGGAAAACCGGCTTTATGCAGCATGCTACCATGCCTGGATTTTAAGGCGGCGTGGGGTGGCGCATACATCTTCTGGAATTGTTTTGCACCTCCTCTGCAATATTCACGCCTCCTCCAAAAGTAATCAGAGGTTGACGGTTGGCAAAATTACCGAGTCACTAAATGTTCTTGCAATCAAATTTCCCTCATTTTTTAATTAAAACCTGGCCCTTGTTTGCTACATCGGTGTGCCGTACACTGTGCGTCACAAATATAATGACCGCTTTTTTCTTCAGAACGGTCTTATTTCTGCTATTCCGTATATCTGTAACTTCTTTGCCATTGTAATTGCTGGACAAATTTCGGATTATGCTCGCTGCAAGAGACTTTATTCAACTGAAGTAGTTCGAAAAATTGCCAACTCGACAGGTAAATATAAATCTTGTGATAGAGTGACGTTTTAGAAAACAGTTTATACAGTATATTGCTTATAATTTGTTTGAGAAATTATACGGTATAGTTATAGTGATTGACTTGAACGTCACCTGTGGCTGTGTTGGGTAGGTGAGATATTAAAGATAGCCATCATTTTTAATCCCAAATCGTCTGAGATTTACTTTGGAAACTCTGTCATTCATTCTTGTATAGGCTTCATTTTGGCGGCAAGCTCGTTGATCGGCGCTAGTTTCGTTAGATGTCATCAGACGGCTTTGGCTGTGTTTCTTTTATCTCTTTCATTGATTGGTAGTGGAATTTCTCAATCTGGACATGCCATTAATCACTTAGATATCGGTGCTAGATATGCTGGTGTACTCCTGGCAATAACAAACACAGTAGCAACAATACCAGGAATCGTTTCACCCTATTTAGTTGGTATATTTGACTAACAATAAGGTAAATGTAGGTAGACTGTATTTACTGAATTTCACTATATTCACTCGAAAGGGTTAGTTACATAAAGACGTACATATATGTAGTTGAAATATGCATGGCAATAATTTCATGCCCAGAATCCACGAATTTATTCCTTAATCGATTTCGTCAGGGTTAGTAGTCGGATAAGGTTAGTAGTCGGTTGGGCGAGGTATATATTCGAAAATTCTGGACATAGAATTACCAAATAGGGTTTTTGCAGCCTAAAATGAGGAAGGTGCAAAAGGACAAAGGGAGGAAAACAGTGCCAAAATTTCTCTGCCAGACCCGTCAGTGTCGAGTCGCGGACGACCTCAACTATCTTTCATTTCATCTTCTCTTAATTCTTACAGCCCACGCGTCATCAATGGCAGACTGTGTTCTACATTGCCGCTTTTGTCTACGCTTTCGGATTGTTTTTCTTTCTCTTTTTTGGAAGTGGAACAGAACAGAAATGGAACAGACCTGAGCATGAGCATCCTGGTTGGAAAATTAACGAGAATGAATCTTGTGAGAATCCTAGTTGTAAATTATTAGTTGATGGAACAGAAAATCATCAAAAATGCAGCCATTGAATCTTCATACTTTTTAAAAATTGTAATTAAACACTTCAATTTTTAGAGTGAAGTGACAGTAAACAAAAAAATTTCAACATCTTTATATTGTATAATATAAAGAAAATGCGCTGTTTGCTATTATTTTACAATATTCATTTATTATTATTAATTTTTTTAACTAAATCAAATGGCAACAAGGAATGCCTCTTAGTAATGCTTTTTCTATTAAATTCGTGTAGTTATGTACGTTTGGAATAAAAAAAATGTATATATAATTTTATGAAACTTTAATATACTATAATTCGAAATTTTTGGTGTTTTTCCACTTATTCTCTGGCTATTTTGGTGTATATATAGTACCCCACACTAGATAAGTGGTAAAGGAGATATTCATGATTTCATGTATAATCTTTTTTAAAATTACGTGGATTCTACAGTGGCGTAGCCAGCCCGACAATTTAGTCATGCTATGCTAATATTTTGGTGTTCATTGACTGTGAAAACAATGAATTTCTAAAGAAATAAAAATAATGATAATAACATAAAATTTGCATAGCATGACTAAATCGTCAGGCTGGCTACGCCACTGGGATTCTAGGCTCTCTTTGACAGTTGATAGAAGCGACGTACCGATGAAATCGTCGCCTTTGAAGATTTTTGTGCGCAAACTCTTCTTTTGGCAAAAATGGTTCCCATAACAATTCTTAACGAAATGCCTATGAATTATCGAAAAACCACGTGTCCACGTCGAAACGACACCAGAGATGTTGTAAGACGATGCGCAGAAATGTTTGTTCTGAAGCATATGAAGATGTGCATATCAATTATCCTTAAAGTGCCAGCGATTATTTTGGTCAGCGCAGGCAAATTTCCCAGCTGTTGGACATTATATATTCAGTCAATTTATCTAGATTATATGCTTTGCAAGCTTAGCTACAAGTTTTCGCTAAATGCAGACTGTAATAGCGCGTACATTACAACATCAGTTTCGATGTTTGTATAACAACACACGGCGTTGCTTGGCGCTGTCTGTTTCCGAAAATACAGCACAAAATGTCTACAAAAATGAAGACGAATGTTTGTCAATCAAGTGGAACGATGGCAGTATTGACAAATATCCATATATTTATCTGCGTGAGAATTGCCGTTGTCCAGTATGTTATAAAGATGAAAGAAAATCGCGTACGATGTTTTCCCCAAAAGTCGTTGATCTCGATATTACAGCAGAGTATGCAAACTGGAATGCTGAACAAAATCTGCTTGAAGTGAAATGGGAGGATGGTCATACCAGCAATTATTCATCTGACTGGTTAAAATATTTGAGGTATGCTATCAGTGTGAGTGATAAAACAAGTGTGCAGAATTACACACCAAGGCGATGTGGAAATGGCGAAGACGACGTAAAATGGCCAATGATGCCATTTATGGACGTCTCACTGACAAACAATCTTTTTGATTGACGATCCCGTCCTAGACTAAATAATATTTGTCTCTCCGGCCCTCCGCTGTGGTGTGTAGTTCGAGCACACCTTTCTATCCTCTCTAAATATTAATCGCGCCTTGCCCTTGGTAATAGTATTATTTTTATCAATAATAATTGTAGTATATAATAAATAGAATATGGAATCTAATTTTGCATTTCTATAGTGGCAATTGCAGATGATATACTTTCTTCGCAGTGGATTATATTAAACGCGCGATAAAATAGCCTTAAACGTTTATCTATGGTTTACCCGTACCCGTTTACAGTTACAACAAAGTATTAGGTTATAACTTATGGTAATAATTGATAAACCTCATTACCCTTCATTATATATCATCTCGAATTGCAAATTACAAAGACCCTGTGGACTTATTGTAGTTATTTAAAATTCAAGAAGCTGTTGTCTGTGCATCTGTTGATTTAGCGTAGTGCTCATGAATACAAATTAACACAATAGGATAATTTCTAGTGTCGCTTTTTTCGGGGACTACACTGTATGTCAAGCCTAGCGAGTTATCGATGTTAAAGGAATTGATGCGAGGAATTGATGTTGTAATGATAATTTCAAGTGTAAATGCATGCAATAGAATATTAATATTATTGTTGTGTAAAAATCAGACCGAGGGCTAATAGCATTTCAACGTTAAGGTCGACACAGACCGGACTTTTCAGTTTTTAGAAGCACATAGATTGATTTCTGGAAGCAAAATTTGGAATCTATGGACGCCAGAGCAGTCAAAATGTATTATTGTTAAGAAATCTACGAGAATATTATGATAGTTTAAAATTTATTTCCTTTTGGAAAATCAAAAACTTTGGAAAATCAAAACCTCTCAAAATCAAAATCGCGCCGCGTTGCCAAATCACGTCCGGTCTGTGTGGGCCTTTAAGCTTGAACACGTTCAACGTTTATAGTGATAAAGTCATAAAATTTAAACCGTATTTGTATAACAGAAAGAATTATATATCGAAACCGAGAGCTTACTTTTAATATTAATAAATGTAAAGGTCGACACAGACCGGATGCGATAATTTCGTTAACGCGACGCGAATTTTCCATTTTCAAATGGGTACCAGACTAGTCAATATGCCCTGTCATTCAGTAATTATCAAGAATATCACAACACTTTCAAAATTAGCAAAACTATAGCAAATTTCAAAATTTTCAAAACTGAAAACGTAATAATCGCGTCGCGTGGGCAAATCGCGTCCTGTGTCTGTTCTGTTGGCCTTAAGTCAAGAAACCGATCTACCGAAACTTGCACTTACATAAACATCAGTCTGGAAAAAAGGATCCCCACATAGGCGCGTAATCCGGTTTTCCTTTGTCAGGACTTGCGCATTATCAAAAACTGTGAATCTAATTGTGTTTACCGGAATTTGGCATAAATACACCGGTAACACAGCTGTTATACTTGGCTATTTTATTGCATTCTGCAATTTTTTATCGGCAGGTATCGCCCACTTGTTGAAGAGCAGTCACCTAGTTTGATAAAGAAAGGCATTCAGTTATGGGGTGAAGAAATGTCTGAAAAGAGCAACCTACCTGTATTTCAGTTCGATGAGTTGATGGCGGATGATGAAGTGCTTTACAAGTGGATGGTTGCCATAGCTACTCAGACTGGAATTGCTAAGATTGAAAATGCGCCTAAAGAGGCAGGCCATATAAGGAAAATGGGGGAAAGAGTTGGCTATCTTGTGCAATCTACTTTCGGGTAACTTCGGTAACTTTTTTTGAAAAGAGAACTATCTATTTTTGAAATGCCCTGGTCGACTTGTAGTGGTGTTCCTGACAAACTAAGCGAAAAACACGTTCTTTTAAACATAATCCATGGTATTACGTATTCTGAAAGTGTACATATCATTTGAAACTGATAATTTTTTTAGAGTCGTTTCTCAGGTAAAAGCATTTAGCGGAGACGCAACACATGAAACTGGGTACACTTATTCTGAATTGCCTCTGCATGCGGATTTTTCATTCCAAAACACTGCACCTGGAGTAAGTTTGATAAACTCTGACCTTTTAACTGTAGCATTTTAGCTTTTCAGCCCCAAGGCTGTATTAGTGCCCTGTTGTTACACAGTGCAATTTTTCTTTCATGCACTGTTTCTTTATTTTTTTCAGTTCTAACTTGCAATTCTTCTTTTGGGAGATGAAAATTTAGCAACAACGAAATTTGTGTTTTCTTCTAATGTTTTCTTATACATTTATTTCAGAAACTATAATATTCACTAATTTATATCTCTCAAAAGTAGAATTGCATTACAAGTTGCAGGAAAAATTTTATCAGGTACTATACGGCCCTGTAGGTTGCAATACTTCACTGTGTTACGCAAACCAAAGGTGAGGGTGGTGCCAGTTTACTCGTAGACGCTTTCCATGCTGCAAACCTTCTCTACGAGGAAGATCCAGAAGCATTTGAGATCCTAGTGGACACACCACTGGTATTTAAAAACTTCACAAAGACTCCCGCTGGCAAAATCTACGCCGTATCTCGACGTCCTATTCTCAGGCTAGTAAAGTAATATTGAATACTTCGCCTTCGGCTCAGTGAATATAGGCTTGTAATCACCGAGCCTGATGCAACTACTTGTTTTAGTATAAATTTAGAGGCGTTTACAAATAAGAATCAACACAAATTCATAAAAAATTATAATTACTTCAAGCATCAAAAAGCTATAGGCACTGACCAGCCGGCTATCACTTCAGAGACAGTGAATTTTGACCAATTACAATGCAGGAAAATCAATAGTCACCTCGAAATTTATACTAATCATTATTAGACAACTTCTTGCAGGGCCGCCGAGAGGGGCAGGGAGGCATTTTGCCCCAGGCCCCAAACCTGAAGGGGCCCCCGACTTAAGAAAGAACCTAAAATTAAAGCACCTTAAAAAATGTTGGGCTCGGTGTATTATTCGCACACTAGTCGAAAGTACGAGTGACAGTCATTATTTAAATTTCTAAGATGTGTTGATATTGTTTATAAAAAAAGTTTGTTTGTAAAGCTTTTGCACCACGCTTTGAAGTACTTAATGCCTTGCAGATATTTAAAACCATAGGGCCCCGGGAAAATTTTTTGCCATTTTCCGGCGGACTTGACCATGGTCGAATACGCCATTTTTGGCGGACTCGACCATGGTCAAATACGCAGTTTTCCAGTACACTCGACCATGGTCGAATACGCCGTTTTCGGGCACACTCGACCATGGTAGAATACGCCGTTTTCCGGCGGACTCTACCATGGTCGAATACGCCGTTTTCCAGTACTCGACCATGGTCGAATACGCCGTTTTCCGGTACACTCGACCATGGTCGAATACGCCGTTTTCCGGTACATTCGACCAGGGTCGAATGCGCCGTTTTTGGGTAGACTCGACCATGGTAGAATACGCCATTTTTGGCTGGCTTGACCATGGTCGAATACGCCGTTTTCCGGCGGACTCGACCATGGTCGAATACGCCGTTTTCCGACGAAAAAAGTTTGTTTGTAAAACTTTTGCACAACGCTTTGAAGTACTTTATGCCTCGCAGATATTTAAAACCATGACGTCATAGGGCCGGGCTTGCCCCGGGCCCCACAATTTCTCTGGGCGGCCCTGACTGCTTGCATTAAACGAGCTGACAGAAAACACTCACCCCTC